CACACGCCATTAAACTCTCTCATCAGACGTGATACGATCATCTCAAGCTATTCTGTCGTTTTCCTCATCCCCAAATCCTCCTCCCGCGTGTGTCAAAGGTAAAATGAGGTCAGCTAGGATGCGATACTACCAACTCTTGATTTTGTGTGATAGAGGTATCCCCCCCTCACATATGCTACTGCTAGCTAACCTGGGAACCACTGACACAGGAATGAGCTTTCCTGGATATCACCACAGGTGTGTACGGTAAATGAAGACATGTATTGATCACACATGTGCACGCTCGAGCCGCTCACACAACTACGACATGCAGTAAATAATACAGTGGCGGCAGCAGCAGCTTAACTCCTTTGATGAGACCGCTGCTGTCTCAGTCAGCCTCATCTCCGGCACATTGCATAACTCAACACAGTCACAAACACATAACCCCAGGCCTGGTCTGCACTACGGAGAGCCATCTAGAAGAGTCAGCTCGCAACTATCAACCCCAATAAGGAGAGAGCAAAATGAGGAAGATGATAAAATGCAAAAAAAAAGATTAAATGAATATACAAACTGTCTGTGACCGGAAAATAATCTCTAAAAGAAGCAATGAACTGGAAACGCCAACGCTTTTTCACCATTTGCTATCCCTCTGTGTCCGACGATGCTGCATGCATGTGAAAAGAAGAAGCCAGAGAGTCGTAGTAATCACTGATTACAATCAAAATCCATTACCATAATCACAGACATATGAATTATATGTGCTACAATCAGTGTTCTGTTAGTGACATCTGTGAACTACCCTTTAAAGCAATTACTGAGATTAAAAATAAAAAAAATAAAAACCTTCAGGGATTTCTAACATACACACACACTGTAAACAACTTCAGCGATTGTAAGCTGCAATTGCACACTTTCGTGTTTATCTCTATACAGATCCAGATTCCAGCTACCATTTCTATGTCAACACTTTTAAAATAATTCCCATTCAGTGGTCCAGTCCGAGAACTCATGGCTCAGTGAGATTCTCCTGTGACTGCAGACAGAGCTGGAAGATTTGCATAGTTACTGAGTCAATCAGAAGGAAGATTAATGATGGAGAGATATGTCATAGTCAATCTACGCTATGACCAAAAGCTGCACAGCGCCACTGCCAGTCATAGCAGTTACTGCAAAGCCTGTGTGCGTGTGTGTTAATGTGTGTCTGAATAAAGTTGTCTTTGCAAACATGTGTGCACCACTGTCCATCCGCATGAGCAAACGTTTGCCCCCGTGTATGTCAGTACACATACAGTATTTGCGTGCGCACATCCACTAACATTTGTATAAGTCATCGATCATCATACGCTTGTGTGTGTGTGCCTGTGTGTGAAGGCACACGTGTGTGTTACCTATGCCTCCTCCGAACGTCTATCCTGAAATACTAACTCTTTGTGAATGTGTGTTTGTGTGTACAGTGTTTGCGGCCCCAGTTGTATGTGTGAGTCCTATGATGTCCTGCGCCTGCCGATGAGATAATCTGGTAGAGCATGGAGTGACAATTTGATCAATTGCTGGCTCACAGGGTGTCTCTGAGTTATAGTGCTGCCATCTCTCCCGGCCACCACCAGTAAAGAGCCATCTCTCCGCAGAGATGAGCCGCCACACTGTTACACACACTGCTGCAGACCACCCAGCAAATACACACACGCGCAAAATACATACACGTACAATTGACTTGTCGTTTGATGGCGGTAAGCTGCCAAAATCATCCAATAAGGCCCCTGCACCATGCTTTCTGTCGCGGAGTGACAGTATCTCCGATTACATAGTGCTCTGGAAAAATTGGTAATTTACACCCACATTATTCTTGCTTTAACAAACGGACTGAATCAGCAGAGTATAAATTTCAATTATCAAGGGTGGTGACTTTCTTCTATTAAAAAAAAAAGAAAAAGAAACTCATGTTTACATCCTAAATGGATTCTTTCTAAATACTGGAAAGCTGGTTATTAAAAGCAGGATACAAGTTCTGGGTATGGTTTGTGAGCTGTCCTCGAACCAAAGAAATTTTGACGACTAAAAATAACTGACGAAAGAATAAGTCAACAAGATATCTTCACAGTTATTGGTGCTCAATTCTACAAACTCATTTTGGTTGGAATGATTGAGGTTCCATTCCTCGCCTTCCAGGTTGGTGATTACAATTCCACTTTTTTATTCTAACTATTAAGGTGTTGCAGAGACTTTTCTTTATTTTAACTGTTATATTGTGGCAGGTGTTTCCCTTTAGACTAGGCTGTATGCTTTGGTTAATGTAATCTTTCTGTCTAGAAGCTGATGGATATCAATTAACATCAACTTTTGCACTGATGAAAGTTCAGGATATCATCAAATGATATGGTTGATAAGCGGATGCAGCTCATGATGTTCAACTAGCCCCACCTTCTTTGCCTGTTTTCGCTGGCTTCATGATACCAACGCTGTGGGTCAACAAACTGCAGCTGATGTTGTTTAACAGCAAGACAATTAAAATACTGGCCAAAGGGTCTTGTGTTGGGTTTAAGCAATATTAGATAAAATGACAAGTGGCATCAATGTAACACATTTAGTCCAGTCTGGTCAAGAAATAAAGGATATATAGGAAAAGAAAACAATGAAGGTTCTCTGCCTCTCATGACAAACACTTTGACTAAACAATCAAAACCAAAAGACTTTTATAATTCTGCAATTCCGAACAGAGCATCTCTATTTTGTTTTTCCAGAAATTACACTGCTAATCCGATAGATAGGTAATATGCGTGCCGTGCTTGAACAACAAAATCTGTTTTGTAAATGCTCACAACTTCTTTTCGCTCCTGAGAAAATTTACAGAAAACAATTAACAGCAGTGTGTGCACTTGGGCATATCTGTCTCAGTGCATTACCATACACAGATCAATAAGGATTCTATTCTTGGCCATTAGATCTTGAAGCAGGGATAGCCTGCCTCTCTCACTCTTTCCGATCTATTCCCTCTCTCTCCGCTCTATCGGCCCGTCCTCTCCTGCCAACCGCTTTCTCTATTCCCCTCTTTCCCTCCACCAGACAACACCAAAGGGACATTGTCATCTTCCCAGCTGGACAGTGGAAGCAGCAGCAGCAGCAGAGTCAGTGGCGAGCATCAAACACGGGACAGTTTTGGGGGGGATCACAGAAGTGATTGGCTTTCTGGCTAGAGGGATCAGCCGTCTCCTCTGAGGATTCATGCACACATGCACACACACACACACACACACACACACGCACACAGACACACACGCATAAATTCACTCGCACTCATGTACACATCCACACACACCTCCTGTTCCTGCTGTAATTCTCAGTCCACTGCCACGCTGCCAGGCTGAGGCCCTTGATCTGCCACTTCCTGTAATCCTCCATGGGAGAAGGGTGCAGCCAAATGTCCTGGCAGGCCAGCCAGGCAAACAAACACACATACACACAAACATGCAGAGACACAGATAGCCACGAGTTGCCTCTAAGTGAAAAAAACAATGACCTCCAGGACATAGATGTGTATCGGCGCAGGAGTCCCAGGATGTCTATATATGCAAATATGCAACTTGATATAACTTTAACCAAAATGCATGACAGAAAAAAAACACAAGTTGCAGGACTGCAACGCAAAATAACATGAACCGTGATATCCATTATGTCCCTTTCATTTGTGTCATGCTGGTATCGTTGTCATCAGATAAAGAGACAAGGCTGACTAAACAGCAAATGACAGGGGAGGAGAACCAAAGAATAGATGGATGACTCCCAATTCACCTTCCCCCGACTCCGATAAGACTCTATCTGATCCACATCACTCAAACACAAGAGATTCCTCTGTTTATTCAATTTCAAAGTGACCAGTTTCAGCCAGAAGGAACCATCTGACAAGATAATTTCAGCCAAACTAGGGATCGTCTGAGGGAGTTCTGATCTCTAAGCTGATTGGTTATAGGCATCTTTGTACACCACGAGTACAGCTTTTTTTTTCTTCTTCTTCTACTGAGTTTACCAAGCCTGGAGCTCACGGGAGTAATGTACCAGCCAGCAAGACATAAGCCCCATTAAGATTATTCACCAGCTCCTGCATCAGCCCTAACATTGTACTTCTAAAAGAGGAGGGATTTCATCTCCGATCTTCTAATACATGTGTACCACTGACCGAAACCATGAATTTCTTCATCCAAAGCAGAGCAGCTGTTGAATCTGTAAATCTCTAGGAACATTCAGTCCCTTCCAGGAAAAAGTGGTGCATCATTATCTCTTCAGTCTCCCTCTCTCTCTGCTTTTAAGAGCAGAAAACATTCTGAAGGTACATAGACTGAACACCATCGTCTTTTGAGAAGTCTGGTAAACATGGCTCTGTAGACTCTATGCTCACTCTCCTCTGCCTGAGAGTTTCTCTGTTTTCATCCTCACCTCTTCAGTGCAGGTGAACAAGAATGAGTCACGACCGCAGCTGCCAGCAGGTGGGAACGAGGGACAGCCAGGTGGACAGCCCTTCATCACACCGTAATGAGCTGGCAAAGATTGTGGGACAGGCATGAGAACACATGGAGGACCTGTAAAAGCAGCCTGACACAGACGAGCTCGCGGGCGTTCTCTGTAGCTATACGACTCCCTGCGGTGCCATTCCATCACAAGCTGTTGTCCCTGTTTGTGTCACCGTCCCCACATTGCAAGGAAGCCGACGCAAGCTACCTCCACCACTTACTTCTCCAGCTCAACTGCGGCACATACTTCAATATGCGGCTAAATATGGACTTTTCATTGACATGCCTCGTCACATTTCCGACGTCGGTTCCTCATTGCTTGTTACCGAAAACTCTTCAGCGTGCTCTAAAAATACCCTGAAACCCCGCTGATGTATGCAGCACCTGACTACTGCAGCTCATACATCTGTTCACTTACTTGCTGCTGCCTCCCAGTTGATGCAGGGACCTAAAGGAGCTTCCACGGGCCATGGTAACCTATCACACTGGCAATGACAAGAGAAAGGATACAATCTGAGAGCTCCACTCTGGGTGCCGATGGCCAGTATCTTCTGCACAGGGTCGAAAGCCATGGACGACGGCTGGTAGGGAAAGCCATGACGGACAGTCTGGAGGACGTGCAGAAAGATGGAAAAAAGAGAACATGTTATCAATTTGCATTTCACAGCAGGGGCGTTGTGTTGTCAAAGGATATCACACACCTGGTTTTGGTAAACAAAGGCCCAGATGGATGTGGAAAGTGTTATGAAGCGGAAATGTAAAGCCTGAAATTGCACAAGAGAAAACGAAAGAGAGCAACAAACACTCTTTCTGTGCACCGTTACTCTGTTCTTCGTGATAGATGATATTTGGCTTTGCTATTTAGGATCCTTTTATAATCATGGGCCTATTTTGAGATTCCTTCTCTCCCATTTCACTCTTTTTATCTCGTTTTCCTTCTCTCACTGACACCCACATGAAGTCGTGATTACACTGAAGTCTGGAAATAAAATTACGGAGAAAACACACCAATAAGAAGCGTTTGGTGATGATTTCTTGCAGGGCCTTCTGTTTGAGTGCATTGTCCTGTAAGGTGTTTGTGTTTTCTGTATATTTGTTTGCATGACTGCAGCTTTATGGCGTCAGTCAGCTGGTGGTGGGCTTGTTGGATTTGTTTGCTTAGCGGCAGAAGGCTAAAGCACGTTACATAAAAAGCACTCAGTGCAGCAGAGACACCTGCCTTCTTCCGCAGAGAAACATTACAGAGAGTTTCGGTCCAGGCAGACAGTGATGGTGCAGGGGGGTCTTGTTTAAAAAGACTTCCATCAGATGCTTGGCTGTGGATCAATGTCAGTCAAACCTGCAATCTCCGAGCTAGTCTTTGCAACAACAATATCCCCTTAGCCTTCAGACTCCACAATCAAGCCAGTTACAATTGTGCAGGTTGTGTGGAGAAATCAATAGCAAGCACACAGTGGTGTCTATAAAAAAGGCCACACCAAACCATTGGGGCACAAAGGGGGAAATTCTTAATAAACAGTATAGTGGGCTAAGATGTAGCATGCGTAGTGTGTAAACTGCCATTGGATTTCTTTTTTTTCTTCAAACAGGCCCCCCACTTCAGGCGCCATCAGTCCCCAAATGGATCGATGATCTGGGGTTAAAGTAGTGTGTGCTTCTGTGTGTAGGTAAGTGTAGGTGTAGGTGTGTGTGTGTGTGTGTGTGTGTGTGTGTGTGTGTGTGTGTCTGAGGGAGATAGAGCTAGAAAGAGAGGAGTGTGAGAGGAGAGAGAGGTGGGGGAAGAAGGGGATGGAGAGACACTGTGAGGAAAAGACATCACGAAAGGGGATGGCACACACTCACACACGCACAATAACCAGAAACCACTGTTTTGCTAATCCAAACCCAGCAGATTATGCAAGAAGGGATCAGTTTGGCCCAACCCCTCGATATGACAGTTCATGCCAAACGACACATACAGCAAAGGATGCTATTTTCTCAGAGGATTAAGTCCTATATTGCCTTTAACCAAAAGATCTCGTTGTTTTGAGAAATTTCCGAGCACAATTATTGCACAAATACTTACAACCACACAGGAACTTACTGTGTAATTGTCAGCGCATTCGCCACACAGTATGCGCATTGTAGTCAGGTACGTTACAGGCTACAATGGCATAGAGCGCTTCATAATGATACTCTTTCCAAACGGGATTCTTGCCGAATGTTAAATAAGCATTCAACCAGCAGACGTGCTCGTTGTAGTTTAAAATACAGAGCAAAATTATTGGCCGATTAATTTATTTATTATGTGGAGCTCACTTGCACAGTGTGTACCGAGAAGGGACACGCGCAGTACAAACTGTAAATTATAATTTAAAAACATACATGCGGAAGGAGTAACCGTGATAAAAAAAAAAAACAGCTGTGTTATAAAATCATCAGGCTCGCCCACCTTGCAGAGCTGGAAATGGTCGGACTGGAGGGTCTCCTGGATCAGATGGTTCTCCTGTGGCCCCACTTGGACAGACGGGGTGGAGGAGGATACCTCTTTCAAGCCGTCCAGCACCTTCCTGATGTTGAACTTCTTCATCTTCAGACTGCAGAGCACAGAATTGAGATCACCCGCAAAAGATAAAGGGGATAGCCACTTTCTCTCTTACACACACACGCGCGCGCACACACTCAAGCGCTCTCCCTTCTGATTTCCTGTGTAAATCTCACATTTGAGTGATTGTTTTTTAGCGCAGTCTCCATGCTGGGATGCTCTGGCGCACACCGCACAGATCGCTTCTTTTTTTTTTTTGACGCGTAAATTTGGAGAGGAGCTGCTTGGATGTTGGTGCGTCGGTGTAATTTGTTCGGACTCCGTGCTGTGCCCCACTGCGTCTCGGTGGCTCCGCTCTTCTTTTCGGCTTCCCTCCCCTCCCCTCTTGGCTCTGTGCGCCGCTCAGCCAAGGCGGAAACGCAGCGCAGCGGCGGTGTTGTTGGTGCTGCTGCTGACGCTCTTGCGCATGTCTGACAGAGCAGAGGCTTCAACGCAAGTCCCACCACCTTGCCAGCCCCCCCTCTCTCTCTCTCTCTCTCTCTCTTTCCTTCTCTCTCTCTCTCTCTCTCTCTCTCTCTTCCTTTCATCTGCCCCCAGCGACAACGCCCCCTCTCTCCCCTCCCCTCTCTCCCCTCCCCTCTCTCTTACTCGCACGCACACATAGTAGGTTTTGCTCCACTGCACCTGGTGATGTTGGGATGCTGCAGCGTTGTGAGTGTCTGTGGAGACAGACGGGCGCTCAGTCCCATTATTTTCGACTACACCCTCACCCTATCCACTCCGCCTCTTGTTTGTGTGCTCGGTGGAAGGTTCGCAATAATAAAGGCCATCCCAAACCATAGTGGAAGTATAAAGCCTCTCTGTGCTGGGCTGGGGAATTGGAGAAACATTGCATACATGTGCTGCATTTTCCTTTCGCTATATTCTTCATGGTGGGTTTACAGAACATATCAGGAAATGTGATGACATTCAAATAAAACATGGAAATGAAAGCATCACATTGTCCCTGAATTCACTTTACATTTCACTTATACCTCCAGACATCAATAAAAAAAAAAAACTTATGTTGGCAATACTGATTTGGTTTTATTGTTTGGAGATGTATGCATTTGCAGGGAAGCTGTGCATAATAAAACTCAACAGCTGAGCAAGCTATGCATCAAGCAGTATCCATGGTGATGGTTGTTTCCTGCTAATGATGGAGTCCCACGGTTTACCTGTTATTTATACCCTCCCTTTGAAAGTGTTACGTCATGCAGTAGTAACACTAGTGAAGCGCTACTGATGAGAGATCGGTTAGGGAAAGGTCCCCAACCAGGTGACAATTGCATGTTCCCCCTGACGGGACCTTAAAGGCAAGGCCATAATGTCTATATTTTAAAACCCTGCTTGGACACCACTCAACAATGAGCTCTTGACAATGTTCTGCAGATTTTGTTCATCCAACATCCAAAGTGGATCTGCAGAAATGGTCAACAGTGAGTGACTTGGTTTGACACTTTTATCAATAACTCGCCATGTTCGGCGTATGTCAGTTGTCAGACATGTCAAGACGAAGCGGAAGAAAGTCTTCAGTTCAGATCCAGAATTGTGCAAAGTTTGCATGTTCTCGCTATGCCTGCGTGTGTTTTTCCTCGGGGCTGCAGTTTCTTCCCACAACCAAAAAGGTGTGCTGTCAGAATTGACACTGAATTGTCAACTCTGCGAAGCATATAGGTATAAAAGATGGATGGATGACTATATTGGAGCCGTCCCAAAATTAGGAATTATTACTTGAAAAAGGTGCTATATATGAGATTGGGAGCATTTCTATTGCCTCTCAACGGTTCTCAACATGGCAATGGCTGAGCCGGCAGCTATCAGCTAGCAGTGCTAACAGCACTGACGACGCCAACAGTGACTTGAGGGGGAACCGGAGGGTGGGTGATTTGCATCCGCAACCTCCGAATGAGAGCGGTGCAGAGTTGGGCCACGAGCTAACCAATGGGTTAGCTCGTGGACTAAAAGGTGCGTGCGGCTATGTCAACAAAGCAGAGAGAAGCCGGATCACAACACACAAAGAGGGAAAGCGATTTCATTCTCTGCTCAAGTAGATGTTACTCCACCGTATCTTGACAAAGAAAATAATTGTTTGCTGCTATATTAATGGTCTGAATCCCATAGATTGCACCCATATGTGAGTTGAGTTCAGAACGTCAGTGCAGCTGTGTATGTTCGTAAGGTCACAGATGAAAGTACTTGACGAGCTCAGCTGAGACTGCTCATGCTTGACTGACACTGACGTTGCCACCTGTTTTGGCTGTTTGCTAACATGCTTGTCTTCGACAGGTTGACGCCGGCAGCGGGGACAGGGGTGCAGTGGTGGAAGTAATAGGTGTGTTTGCGCTCTTGCTAACAACACCTGATCCCAACTCTGTCCCAACCTGGGGAAAGTCCAAAAAAAGGGCATGTCTATGTCCACCACATTGCAATAATCAATGCTGAATAAATGAGATTGTACGTATGTGTTTTCACGTAATCCTTTGCTGAGACGGCGCTGAGTAAAGGATGCATCAAGGTAATGAAGACTTTGTTGAATAAAAGGGCACAAAAAGATATGAAGAGGACCAGGGAGCAAATTATTGATTCAGTTCTCGTACCAGGGTGGCTTGAGAACAATCGTTGCAATGCTGATTTGCATAATGAACTGAAATTGACCATACGCACCTTCCAACCCCAACTGATATCGCCTGATCCAGAATACATTACGCAGGCAAACAAAGAGGTCCTTATTAGTCAATCCTTGCATGTGTGTAAGTGAGTGAGTGATGTTTCAAGGGAGAGCTTTTGGCGACTCTGACATCAGTGATTTAATTTAGCACCATTGTGTTGTGGCCCGGGCCATTCATCTAGCTGCATTGTGTGTATGTGTGTGCGTTGTATTTTGAGTCTGACTGCTGTGTTTGTGCTCTTTGATAAGGATTTCCACTGAGGTAGCGCTTTATTAGTGTTTTTTTGTAAAGGGCAAAAGTGTAAGGAGAGTATAAAACAGAAAGAAAAGAGAGCGAAGAGAGAGAGGGGGATGGTCAAGCAGAGGTGTAAATCCCATGTAAAGTCAATGTGTGTCAGTGACCAATATTTCAGTCTTTAAGTCATAGGCCACAAAACTATGATGATTTTCATTTAATCACTTTTTTTGGGAGGGGTTGAAAAAATCAGCAAGAGATGAAAGGAGTAGAATGATGAAGCATTGCAAAGACACACATACTTTACAATATATCATCTGCTTCTACCTACTAACATAACTGTGACGTTTTGAAATGGCAGCCTGCCAGTGCTGTCAGTGCAGTCATTGTCCCTCCCTTGGTTGATGTTACGCAGATTACTTTATTTTTTTAGGCACACTAAACATCATGGAAGTTGAACTACATTCTACAGCATTGGTGAACTTTACTTCTAGAAGTAGCTATAAGTGTACCAATTACGCCAGTACACTGTGCCTCTGTCCCTCCATTATCTCTGTATTATCATTGATCACAACAATCCTTGGAAATATGCATATTGAGTACAATCGATGAGGATCATCAACAACATGATAACTTTGACTGTATCGAGCAGCTACTGTACTAGACCCATTGACTCTGCAGTGGCATAAGCTTGTTTTAGGTAATGTTGAGTTAATCAGTAAACACAGAAACAAAATACACCTAATCTATATCAAAGAATATTTATATTTATATTTATAAAATATATAAAAATGTTGTCTTCTTTTTTTGAAGATACCGTGCAGCAAAGGGTCAAGATCTAGATTTATCTAGACATGCACATTCACACACATTACAGAGATGTTTGCATAAAGAGGAGGAATATGCCTCTACATATTTCAAATACTTTCATCTACATGCATCTCATTTCTCTGACTTTACAGTGTAGGATTGTACGTTATTTGAATATAAGAATGTAGTTTTATATGTAATTTCATCTTGACTGATTCTCGAACTATTCTAAATTTACGAAACAAAACTAGACAAAATGAATGTGGAGTTACGTAAACAGGCCACGCTCACAACAATGCGCATATGCACAAAGAACAAGTGTCCTTACACACAGACTATTCACCTCTTGAGGATTTCAGCCACTTAAAATCTTACAGATGACCTAACAGGGATAGACCTTGTCACACTCTCTCACACTCAAGAAGGATCCATCCGAAGCGCCACACTGTGCAGCCCCAGAGCGTGGCATCACAGTGAGCCCTGTTTGACCCCCTATAGCAGCAAGTCGCAACGCTGTCTGGAGAAAGTGAAAAACCTAGGAGGACACAGGGGACAACAGCAGGTTGCTGCGAGTCGGGGCGTCTGCCTGTCATGCAGAAGGACTAGACTAGAGGGACAAGGACCTTCCGCCCTCACTGACAGCTGTAGTTAATCAAGCGAATCATAGCACACCTGAGTTTTGGGCTTATGACCCCAAAGCTTCCTGCGGCATTCAACCACTGTGTCCTAATGCAGCAAGAAGTATATGCGGTAAACAGCACTAGCTAACAAGTGAGAGGAGATACAGTATCATCACACATATAACTCTCACACACATGTGCTGGGGGCTTGTTATTAAAAGAAACAAGCGGAAGATGCTCACGCAAATATGTTAGTCACAAGAATTTGCACACTCACAAAACCGAGAGGTCAAAGTGGAAACATACAAAGCTATTAAGAGTATGCATGATACGCATAGACAGGCACACATGCTGCTCACAAAAACACGTCCCAGGAGATTGCGAGTTAATGAGTCAATACCCTTGAGGGAACACTTGATTGTCTCTGCCTGGTTAAATAGGAGGATGTTTTCAATGGCAAATATTCCCCCTGCAAGCACACGTGTAGATGGGCTGCTGCTGCGGACGGCAACGAAGCTCAAGAGGTACATCTGTAAATGTTCCTCTCCAGATCTCCTCCCCCCCCCACCCTCCCACCAGTCCTTATGGTTACACTGGGGCTCATAAATATCGACGGGAGGATAAAACAGATGAGTAGATGAGGGTGAAGAAATTGACAATACCATAACGCCTTCATCACGTTCACAGCGTTCCTAATCAAAAAGCTAGAGGCTAATACAAGCATGAGTTTATGATCCTGGCAGCACACCTCATTTTTGATTAATGTGGGAGAGAATATAAGACTGTAAAGATCTGTCTCCGCCACGAAAACAGTTAAGACGCATTGTCAGCTCAAGCTTTCAAGGTCAGAAGGCCACACGTCCCTAATGACGTATTTTGTGGCCTGTGTGTGTATGTGCAGGTATGTTTCATGCAAACAGCTCAGGGCTCAGGGGATGGAAGTGACACAACGGCAGCTTGTCTCTACTCGGAGCAGCACGGCTGGTATCAATTCCAATAATCAGCTAAGGCGATAAGCTGACTATCAACACACACACATATATATATACCAATGTTTCCTTTGCAGTGACGCAGGACCTCTGGGAGGACAGATTCTTTGAAAGAAGCCGGAGTTGGCGTGAAGTTAAACCAGAGATTGAATAAACATTTCGTCCTCAGCTCAATGTCACTAACTCAATAAATCGAGACCACTGCCTCCGTCAGTCCCTGCTGTTTGAAGAAGGAGAGGGGAAGTCCAATAGAGTCTAAGAAAGTCTACCATGATTTTACTGGTATTAAGTTGAACATGGACACGACGTGCACCTTCTGCCCTAATTATATATACGAATGGTAAAAATGAGGGTTAAAGGGATGTGTGTGTGTGTGTGTGTGTGTGTGTGTGTGTGTGTGTGTGTGTGTGTGAGAGAGAGTGTGAGAAAGAGAAAAGTCTCCTATCCTTTTATCTAAGACTGCAATAATCAACAGGACAGTTTATCGATGACTCTAATCAGCTCACACTTTATCGAATCAGCACTTCACCATGACCATGCCTGTGTCGCTGAACTGGTACGAGTCCTCTCTGTCCACACATTAGAAGTGACTCTATATCAGAAAAGAATCATGACCTGATGTGTTCAAATAAAAAGGAAATCTGAAGCCAAACACAATGTTACTGAAGAAGGCGCACTGTAAAAGCGCATTCAGAAGAAAGTTAAATTCCTTTTCCCCCCCGGACTACAGCAGCGTGATGGTGAGCCGCCTTACCGAGGCCTCTGTAGCCTCCGATGGTGAATTAAGCCGCACAATTATCCCCTGTGATTGGCAAAGGCTATTGCACAATCCAATAAAGTGGGATGAAACTTAGACTCCTGTTTTATTGGCAACCTGACACATCCCAGCTATATAATCATCTCAACACAATTAAGTTTGGATTCAAGCAGTTGCTGTGAAGCTATTTAAGGAAATTGTGTGTATCCTCCCATCCAGCCATCTATTAGCTTACCCTTCATTCATCTATCAGCTGAGGCAGAGCTTTGAAGAGGTGACATCAAATGATGCATGATTAGTGCTGTGCTACACCCAGGTACAAACAAACAAAGAACCACATCTGGGGCAGTCTAAATTAACATTCAAACATCTTTGGAAATAAACACTTTGGACACAGGCTGTGGCACAATAGGAAGTTACATCAGCCGCATCCTGACAACCACGATTGCTTCACTATAATAGATACAGACATAAGCGACTTCGAAACACAACAGCGGCCACCAAAAGAAGTTCCAAGTAGTAGTTAGTATAACTGTCGGGGGATGAAGTTGGGACTAAAATATCCTCTAACAAAACCGACTTTGATCGGTATGTACGGACACACACACACATGTAGCAATGTGCCCACACATGCACACACTCCCTTGATCCCTCCACTGTAAAAGTTGTGCAGTGATGTGCTGATTGATTCAGCTGTCAACTCAGACCTGTGCTTTGAATAGCAACTTGCCCGGTTCTGCTGTCACTGGCCACCCGTTAAGTGCACATAGAGCTGCACCACAGACATTTTATCATCAGACAAGCGGTTCCCCAGCACTGCTTAAATATTGACTTGATTGGACCTTCAAATAGGAATAGACTAATCTTTACAAAGTATTCACTGGTGGTCCAGGGAGGAACGACTTGTCGGCATTGATAAGTGAGGGCCAGAGGGAAATAAGAAAGATACAATTAGAAAGCCTATCTATATAAGTTACAATAGAACACATTCTTACACAGGATTTCTCCCGCTTTACAGTAGGTCTCTTGTCACCTAAATCTGATGACAGGTACTGTTTTTAAATGGTAATGATGACCTTGTATGCGGTGCTTCGTGTGCTCGGCACCTCTAAAACTGAAGGGTTGCAGTTTTTTTGTGAACTTCTCCAGACTCATTATTTGATTTTCACATCCCCCCCTGGTGTCTGCAGAGCTGCGCTCTGTTGGCTGAAGAAAGAGGTTTCTTGCTGGAGGCAGGTAAGCCAAAAAAAAAAACAAGAGTAAAGAGAGAGTGAAGCCAGAGCAAGGTGAGGCAGTGGAGCAAAATAGTTGGGTTACGAGACTGAGGCTGCAACCAGGTCAGCATTTTTGTATCTGCAAGTTGGGGGTTCCATGTGTGTGTGTGTGTGTGCGCACATCAGAGACAGAGTTATTGTAAAGTACAGCGGTTTGGGATTACTGCAGTACAGTCTGGATGTCAATATCACATTCAATGCTGTCACTCTGTCACCATACAGGAACGGATTGGCCTTTTGCTCCTTGTCATCTTCTGAGTCTTAGCCATGGCAGCACCGGCTTCTCTCCCTCAAAGCCTTGCTCCCCTGTCTTGTGTCAGCATAGCACGCTCTGTGGACAGACCCCAAGAGACATTCAGTCCCAGAGGGAGAGAACAACAACAATTCGACAATGCTGCAGCATGTTGAGCCAATAGGCCAAAGGACCCTGTATCCACCCCTTTCCAGCTGGGAGTGCATGTTTGTGTGTGTGTGTGTGTGTGTGTGTGTGTGTGTGTGTGCTTATTGATGCGTGGGGGAGTGCATGTGCCTGTGCAAGGCAGAGAAAGGTGAAAGAAAAGGCAAAAGGAGCTAAGTGAGCATAAGGCTCTTGAGGACTTGAAGGGCACTGCATATTCTTTGCAGATATTATAGATTTATAGATTGAATGCAAAACAAGTCTACACTATTTTATGGAAGAAAATCACTGTGTGGTGCATTATTCAGAGATGTACACTTAAAGGAATGGTTCAACATTTTTGGGAAATATGCTTACTTGCTCGCTTGCTGAGTTAGATGAGGGGATCGATACCACTCTCATATCTGTATGACGCTACAGCCAAGACACGATTAGCTTAGCTTAGCATAAAGACCAGAAGCTGGGGGAAACAGCTAGCTGGGTCTGTCCGCAGGTTAAAAAAAAAAAACCTCTGGACCTCTTAAGTCATTTCTTAACATCTTGTATCTCATTTGTTTATCCCGCACAAAAACAGAAAACTGTCAAGTTGTAGATTTGTGCAGATTTATATGCTTGGACCATTCAGGCTAGCTGTCTTCATGCTAAGTTAACATGCTTCTGGCTCTGCTGCAAGATTCATAGGATCAGTTTAACAACTGATGTTCAGTTTAATGGCAGAGACTTGATTTAGACTTGGACCCCTTGATACTGAGCCACATAAGATATATGAGATGATATATATATATATGAAATGTAGGGAGGACAGCATCATAGCTCACTGAAAAACAACAGTAGATAGTCTATATATTGTACATGTGACAGAGATGTTGCCATAGAAACAGAGAGAGAGAAACGTTGAATACACAGGCAGTTCCTGCAAGTCGCCCTTTTTGTCATTCACAAAAGTAATAGCAAAGAAATTGATTAAGGCACTCTTGAATTATTACCTCCAAAATGGAAAGTGAATTAAAGAGCCACCACAGTCTCCCAACTGCAGGGAATGTGTATCTACTTTCATTTAATTTCATCATCCCTCTATGTGGGTCCATTTAAGAATCAAATATTTTCTTATTACTTGTGGGAAGTCAAATGCACACGCACACGCACGCACACACACACACACACACACACACACACACACGCACACACACACACACACATAATGGCCAACTGTCCCCGTGTTTTCAAGGTTATGCCAGAGTTCTTCATTCGCTCACAACACATTTGCATCAAACCACCAGCTGCCAATTAACAAACAGCCTCTCTGTTAATACACACACGTCACTGCCAATTACAGTGTCGGGTGATCTCAGCACAGAGGACTAGGGGGAGGAGGGCGGGTTTAGAGGTACTGAAAACAGCAAATAACAGCAAATTTTTTTTTGGAAGGGAGGAATGATTGGGCGAGAGGGGACAAGGCGTTCAGGATTAGCTCTGTCGTGCAGTTACAAGGGTAGATAGGGTAATAGTGGTTTGCTATATATGAGGCCTTACAGATGCAGTGCAAAATACACGTCACGCGGCAGCACATTTTTATGAGCAAAAATACAACTGAGCAATGTACACATACACACACTGTGTTCTGTGTGCGGAGTGGAGCAGCACAGGGTATTTATATCAAACATTGTGTGCACATATTTACACAAATTGCTGTTTGTTTGCTTGTGTCTACAGCATCATTGTATGAGCCCATCTATCTGATTCATATTTTGCATATTATTGTCCGATATCATAATGAAAGGGACTCATCTCCTGCAAAGACGAGTTTTAATAAACGAATTGTCAGCAGCAGGGTACCAAAGCTTTAAAGCAGGAGCGGATTACTGCAGGATGACTTTGCACATGAACACACATACAAGCAAGAACAAATAATTCCTGTCAGCCCGCTGTCTTCCACACACACACGTACACCCACACACTAACACACACACACAGACAGCATAATAATAATTTCCTTCTCACAGCAGCACAAAATTTAACTATTCATTATTGTCGACCATGAAAACAGCATAGTGCAGAGATGGTGATGAGAATGTATTAAGGCCCACAGCCACTAGATGGCAGCCTCTTCCCTTTCAACTCTAATTTAGCTTCCCGTTCCTCAGCTGGTCAGCTGACTCTCTCTGTGGGACTTCAAATACAATGCTAAAATAAAGGGCACTTACTTAACTAGATCATATTCATTTGACAAATAAACACCTGGCTGATGAAGAGTTATGCATATCAGAAGCCTAACCATCTCAAATATATTCACTTCAACCTTAGATTATGGGATCAATAGTTCCCATGTTGCTGAAAATATCTGCCCCCACCTATCTATGTTGCAGTTTTTGTGTAAAACACTTGTTCTTGGTCGTGTAGGAATGGACTCTTGTGAGATTATATCAGCAAGAAAATATCAATTAACCAATCAATCAATACCACTCAGTTTGTGGGAGGTTGGCTGTTTTCAGCATGCCTGGAGTCATACAGTCGATACAGTGACCTTTAAGAAAGCAAAAGATGTGTGGAATATAACCAGGCGTACTGGGCATCAAAAAGTCAAATCCATACATTCCAAGTGAGAATGCCTGACATTCTCAGTGCAATGAACAATGCACACAGCCAGTGACAGCCTTATTTATTTTTTTCAAATGTATTATACTTGATATTTTCCAAAGCAAATGAACAAAAAATGCAAAGATTGCTTTTGTAGGTGAGCCGTGGCTCTGTTAATGCAGGTTAGAAATGAAAGATGAAGGATATAGTGTGGTATATAATATATCTTTTTAATATGATAAGGAATACAGTATAAATGTTGTAAAAGTATGAACACATTTGGTAAAAGAAAACAACATTATAAACATTAACAAACTAACTTTTTAGAGTTTCATATTTCAATAAAGTCTAAAGAAAAAAAAGGCAACAGCACTTTCAGCTCTGGATCAGGTGCAACAACAACCTTTTGGTATTATATCATCAAGTTATAAATTATATCATCAACAAGCTATGTTAAATGAAGCATCTTCAGTGTTCAGACAGACTTGTTGAGAGCTGTCTGCTGAGGAGAATTGAAACTGGAACTTAGTGTCATTTCTTCTTGCCAGCACTCTTGGCCTGTTTGTTTCGCTGCTTTTTGGCAGAAGAGGCCTTTGTTTTTTCTACTGCCTGCTGAGCATCATCCAGAGCTTGTTTCTCTTCTTGTTCCTTTTTCACGGCTGCCATCTGACGGCTACTAAATGACTCGCAAGCATCCTGGAATTTCTTACGGCGCTGCCCCAAGGCTGCCTTGAGTCACGACAGAGAGGGAAAGAGAAAGAAGTTAGACAATGATGTTTAACCAGAGGGAAGGGAAGCTGACAACAGATCTTTCTCACTCTCTTTGATAGTCAAAACTGAACATTATTACTGTCTACACCTTCACTTTTAGACATCACACAGTCCCCTGTCTGTCTTTACTGACCTGCATGTGCTCATACATCTCCAGCTGTTGTATTATTAGCTCTTTCCTGTTGAGCTCCTGTTGTTTCTGATGCTCCAGCACATTGTCTCGGACCAACCGGTAAGTCTGGATCTTTTCTAAGCGCTCCCTCTGCTGGATCTCCTCTACCTGCGAGTCCATCAGCTCTGGAACATCCTTTTGGCGTCTACGGATGTACGTAAGGATTTACAATGTGATGAGTGTGCGTATCTTGATTCACTGTAGCATGAGCTAGAGCCTTTTACACATTTTCAATATAGTCTCTAACCAGAATGTTAATGCTGGATGGTTAATTTATTCATAGTGAAAGCTCAAGACTTTTTCTGAGAAATACAGTGTTGGGCAGTGGCATATGTTCCATTAAATTCAGAAGGGAGTATTTTGAGGATCAGATATCGCAGATATCAGCTCAAGTAATAGACCATTCCACCAAATTTTACAAGTTATTTTGTGAGATGGGGCAACTGATAATGTTGACACCGGCAGAACAAATACAAATGGAAATGTGGCTGTAAATGCAGAGATAGGCAGAGGAAATGATGGACACAGTCCCATGTCTTATCTCATATCCCGAGTTGTACATCCAGACTGATATCTGAGCAGTCGATTTGGTTCTGGTTGTAACCATTGTATTTGTGTGTGTGTGTGTGTGTGTGTGTGTGTGTGTGTGTGTGTCATACGGTACACAGAATGAATGAGTGAAGCAGTCTACATGAGTTTGAGGAAGAGAAATGACTAGGAGTGGCCCTCTGAGGCACACACACAGAGGGAGAAATTCAAAGAGAGATTATAAGGGCTAAATATACCGCATGCCTTTTTCCTAAAAGATGACCTTAATGAAGAGGCTAGGCCAGTGGAGGTGATGATAGAGTTCATTTGGTTCCATTCAACCCCTTTTTACGGCCTGTAACAACGTGTGTGCAAACGTTATGAAGGTTGCATGCATGAGTGTGCGTGAGTGTGAATCTGTGACGTGCCGTGTGGTGCGCCTTCGTGAGAGAAAGGTGTATCGCACACTAATCAGACTCCCCTAATAGACTACTCCTCGGGATCTCTCTCTCTCTCTTGGCGCGAATTGCAGGCCACACTGTCAGCAGCCATTACCAGCTGGACACGGACACACGTGCGAGTGGGCACACACACACACAAATACACCCACAGCAAGAAAGGGTGGAGAGGTGATGTGAGTTGGGCGCATGTCACAGGAGCGACGAGCTCATCGGGGTCCTGAAATAGCCATCTAATTAACAGACCCAAATATCATCTCATTTATCATGGAGAGGGATGGATAGGGGGAGAGTTGGAGGGAGGGATGTGAGGGAGAGCAATGGGAGACTCTAAGGGTAACGATAGAGGGAGACTCTTTCCTTCAGGACACTGGGAATTTAGTTGACACATTTTACATCGACAAGCAGGAAACTCATAGATGCCTACACTGCGTATTAATGTTAAAGATATTCATATTCATATTATTCTATTGCCAATGGTGAGCACAGTTCTCCAACTGTGGAGCTGTTGAATTGCATCTTAAAATGATGTTAAATCAGCCATGAAGCAGATGCATGGGGGGAAGCCATCATCAAGTTAAATTAAACATATATTGTTAGTACATTAAAGCTGTGTTGGTAACATTGGAGACACCAGCAAGAGTAAGCTAGATTGTATAGGTATCTGAACACCAGCCCAGTGTTGCCAACTATTTTCCAAAGAAAGTAGCTAGCAGCACGAAATCCAAAAGTCTCTAATTCTAGGGAGAAAAGTTGCCATGTTGGCAGCACCGACTGCCCGTCCAAAGTCACTGCCGCGAAAATCATCATTATGAATATCACATATCTCCTTGAACGTAAACGTCAAACAGAGCTATTGTCAGTACTCAAAGCTGTCAAGCTAGGAGCTTGTGAAAGACTCTGGTGACGAGCAATGAGTGCAAGGACAGAGAGTCATGAGGTAGACAGGCAGTTAGTCCAGTCATTTCATTTGACTGGATGAGCTTATTACAGTCCTGGGACAGCTGTAGATACCTGATTTTTGTCTATTTTTTGTCAGAGCATTTGACTTATGGATTACTGTAGAGTTGTAAAGAAAATATACGTATATGTTTATGGAGAACATTTGTTCTGGAAGCAAACGTATTTATTAATAAATTATTATTTTTTTGTCTGTTTCTCCACTTAGCCTCCCCTTATTGTCTAGTATACATTACTGTCCACTGGAGTCCATGCATTGCCCTTTCAGGCTCGCCAAATTGCACATTCTTTGTGCTGCTATTCACTGCAAAGGTCAAAAACACAGTAAATCACTATCAATGTCCTGCAGACGCTGTATGAACCAAACTGCTGGAGATACAGATGCTGGGATGTCCACCAACATAGCAACATGCGCACTGAGAATACACAACAACCACACACTCACAATCCCCTAGTGCAGCTACAGTAAGACATAAGTCAGGCTCACAAAGCTAGAAAAACACAGGGATCCAATGTATTCATAGGCAACCGGGGTGCGCAGAAATAGGATTTCAACAGGAAAATAGAAAAAGCTTGTTGGAATAAATAGTGTGATGATGAGTCTGCCTTGGTTCTGTCTGTTTGGAACAAGCTGAACTGGCTGTCTGTTACAGGGTAGTACACGAGCACCCACAATGATAACTCTGCAATGTATAGTTGATGTGATTATATAACTTATTATATCACATTATGGTGTGACGGCTACAATCTGCTCTCATCCTAATTATATCGTTGTACTTATGCTGTCAAATGATAATAAAAAATTCCATATAGCTACAAAAAGACTGCGTGTAAGAGTGGTAAAGCACCTGATGAAGGGAGTGTAGTCCATGGTCAGCTTTTTATTAGATAGACTGAGAGCGGTGCCGGGATCAGATGTGGAAGCAGCTGTCAAAGAATCACAAAATGTCTCATTACCACACTGTATATGACAAATAAAAGAAACAGAAATTGCCCAAATACATATGTATGTATCTGTGTGTACAGTATCTGAAGTATGGTACCTGGCTCTTTGCTTTCTGCGTCATCTGTAGTAGTTTCATCAGCTGCTTGAGGTTGGAGCTGGTTAAGAAACTTGAGACGAGACTGTAAAGCCTAAAGAACAGCAAAAACATTTTGTGTAGTGTATGTTGGAGTATAGAATAGTATTCAAACACATTTCTACAGGCCATAATATTGGAAACACCTCATTAAAATGGCTTCAACTTGTGAGTAATTACATTAAATCACCGTTACAATCATAGCTTCTGGGTTACCTTGGCACAGCGGCCTGGTTCAGCCATTACCCAGGCTTTTTTAATGGCTTTAATCTGGTCCATTCTCTCCGTGTCCTTCGACACCTCAATGCTCTGTGCTTCGCTCTTGTCAGTGACCACACGCAGAGTCCAGTTCGCCTTAGTCAGGTCAAGCCTCTGCACAAAGATGCACACACACACACACACACACACACACACACGGACAAAAACATGACGCACATGTTCAAGCACACAAACATCCCAGTAGAAGGTCACCTTACCACAATACATCATGAGTATGTCTCTTTCAGTGAGCCACTCAGACAGTCTGGTACACAGACAGCCAGGATTATACGTCCTGTTCAGCTGTCTTGCCTTCATTGTAAATAACAGATCATTTTAGTTCATCTATTCAGAGATCATCCTGTCCTCTACCGGGCAAAAAAATTATAATTTCCAAATGGAAATGTATTGATGGGAACCACTATTCTGAAAATCTGCTTTTCAAATGTCATTGTCATTGCACAACGCAGTAGATAATAAAAAGGCACTTACGTGGATCAGAGGTTTTTCATGCAGCTGTGTCTCTGACTACTAAACCAAGACCACAATACTGACAATTATACACTGCGAGATTATAGTGTGTGTTAAATACACGCGGGTCATCCAGGCACTTGTGGGATTCAGTCTCTCTTTGTTAGCATTTCAGAGTCAATGAAATATGTAAATATTGCCCTGCCTGATAAAATAAACTAAAAAGAAAAGATAAAAGATATTTCAGGACAGTTCGACAACAATCTCATTAAATGTGGGAGGGAATCTGTAAAGAGGAGTGTGTATTCAACTGAAGTGCCTCCACAGCCTCCTCTCAAAAAGGTTAATATTACTACTTTTGCTAACTTTAACATAAACAGCGATAAGATTTTCCTTCAACAACTAAGCTCTGAGTTAACATAAAATATATAGTATACACTATAAAATAATAACCAATTTGCAGTTGACAGTGTTGTGGTGTTTTGTGGCTGTAGTGAAGTATTACCATTTCCTGACTGGAGCCAGATTTAGAGATGGCAGCTGGCCTCCCCTTCTCCTTGTCAACTTCCCCTTTGTGGCCGGCTTTGGGTGCGCCAGATTTGTGCCCATGATGGTACGGTGCTTCAGTGGTGGGTGAACGGTTCAAGTCCTCAAGCTTGTATACTACAATTTGCAAACAGAGATCAGATAGATTGGCTTCTATCACCATCTACAACACGTCATGAGTGCACGTATGTGATCAACATTGGCAACCTGGTGTTAATTACTAAGGGACACAAAAGCATGACGATTAGTTAGCATGTCTTTGACAAGCACACAGTATATGTATATAACATTAAAGTGAGTAAGTATAGAATATCAAAACTATGGATACCTAAAAATATTTAGGTGTGCAAACACACCTTGCATTTGTGCAAAATTATCATTTCTTTGCCAAACTTTTGACATGTTTAGATCAATTCAATTATTGTGTGAAGTACAAAAACCCTTTTTTATACACATATATGTCCATTAATGTGCATTGACCTTTATCTTTAAAGCTGTTCACTTTCTAATCAACACAATTAAAGCTCATCTGATGTGCAAGTGTGACAGAGTGAACACACGATGCATGTGTTGTGTGGTCACATGTGTGCTAGATGGCACTGTTGCACTTTATAGCTGAAGTGAACACACTCCCCTGCTTAGATGAAGCATTAACCATGAGTCTCACTCCTCTGAAATAGAGGCATAATAATCCATCAACTAACTGACAACCTGCCATTCTGCCTGAACAGATTTGGTGCATGCTCATTAGGTTACTCTTATCTCAAGTCATACAGATATTCACTGTTTAAATTGGATCTATCTGTGTTGTAATCTCAGGCTGATACATGTATCGAAAACTGATTTTCAGCTGGCTAAACTTAATTAGAATGCATCTTTTTTTTCTTTTACCGAGAGCCTAAAAGCACCATTGTTTTGATACTAAAAATGTAGCACAGATAAGACTACGTTAAGGCGGTTAAGAAGGGAACGTAAAATACTGCCTTAACTGCACATACAGCTTCTGACTGCTCTAACAGTATGCACTGGGGTTTAAAGCAGAGATGGAGAAATGTGCATTCATTAAACATGCGCAGTACAATATTTGGACTGCAGCTTGTTAAACAGCTTGTTTAAGCGAATTCAAAGCTTGGCGTGGCATGTAGTGCGCTTGTGTATCCATGTAGCATGTAGGGAGCATGATCAAGGGCACAGCCTCACCACTGAGACCGAGTTAAACTGGGTGAAATTAATTCACTTTCCTGCTGAGATATTTCCCAGGGCACCAGGGGGGCAAGAGCCAACTTCATTTGACTTCCCATTGACCCACTTTCACAAGCTTATTGGAGAACCACATGAGGTTTGTGTGGACATTGGCCCACACGTACACATATGGAAAAACCCCAGCAAAATGTTGGGAAAAAAACCCTTAACGTGCTCACATTTATCCATGAACAGAAAGCACATGCAAGAAGAACACACAGCATATCTAAGCTGCAACAAATCATTATTGTTCATCTCGCACTACCATTACTATAATACATGTATAAACAGAGGTTTGACTTCCTCTGTAGTCAAAATACATCTGATTACTGTATTTTTAGTTGAGGAATGCCTCCCACACAGAGACTGGTAAATACAGAGAATGTTGTCAAAAGCAACAGAGTGAAGAGAAGGAAAATTCAATGACAGCAGGCTGGCCTTTTCTCTTTGGGCAGTCATGCAAATTGTCACCCATGCAGCACCTCTTTCACATCAACAGCCACCCGCGTCGCAATTAATTCATCCCCCTTAGAATTTTTACGAAGCGTCTGCAAATTTCAAAGTCCAGATTTTTCAATCGATGCAATTTGTGCAGCATGATTAAAGAAGGAGAAGAAGACTTGGTGGCAGAGGACAGGATTATTGCCTCAGCCAACGACCAGTGGGCACAAGAAATCACACTGTGATCTGCGAAAGCAGCTGTATTCATTAGGCTTGTGATTAACAGGCCCCTGGCTCGTAGAAGGAAAGAACAAACAGCATCTGCTTGGCCCCTGACACTGCCTAATGTGTATCCGCCGTATATCACACTGAACACAAAATAGGCCGTGCAAAAATAAATATGAAGGCCATATTACAAAATCCATTCATAACCCGGGGATTAAATCCTGAAAACTTTTAAATGCTAAAATAAAAATGACTCACGACTCATTATAGGGATATTGGGAATATCTCAACCCTGCATATTGTATATTTAAATAACTCATTTGGATGTTCAGATTCATGTCACTTTACTAAATTAACTAAACATATTTACATGTTTTCAAGGTTTCTTTCCAGTCTTTCCCTTGGGTGACCTTGGGTGTTGTTGACTGTTTGATGTTGAGTTTGGGATTGTCTTAAGTGTGTACCTCTCATTTCATTCTTCTCCAAGCCTCTGAGCATGTGGACAAAAGCCAGCTGAGATTCATCCAAATCCCAGCTCTTATGAAGCACCTCTGCCTGCACCACGTACTTATAAACCTGTGAAATACATACAAGCAAAGTCAAGTGTACAACACTCCTACCGCAGTTCAAACATGACGTGATAGACAGATACACGCGTTACAAAAAGAAACATTCAGCAGAACGCACGTGCCGTGCAACACCGTAATTGCACAGAGGGATGCTATTTTGTTAACATACAGCTGAAAAGTGCACTAGTGCCGATGATTCAGAGAGAGAGATCTTAAAGAACTACACATTTGTTTTTTTGCTGTTCTCTGCGCTCTGTGACGGAAGCAAATGCTTGGCACAATGAGAGAGAAGAGGCAGAGGGCGTGTTAGCCAAGATTATATCGGGGGCGGCAACTCCCACATCCATCTCACTAAACAGAAAAGACAGAATTTAAACAAAATCCCAAGCTGAAAATCAAACTAATAGAGCAAGACATGTTCTAGAAGAACTAAAAATGAACCCTGAACAGTATTCAACTGTCTGATGTTGTGCTTTTGTGATTGGGTTGTTTTTTTCTTGTATTTACATGTGTGTTTAAGTCCCACAGACATTACACTAAAGGAGCCTTTACCATTAATCTACCATTAGTAAGTAGGCATCAATATGTCTGGTGTGTGTCCCTGCTGCGCAAAACAGCGCTTTAATCACTGAACCATTTGCTCTAAGTCTTGATCAATAGCTGTTTATTCTGGCCTGCTGCTGATCTGATCTATACGATTTGACATGTCTCATTGTTATTGATGTTGGGTTACTTTGTTGAAGAGACTTTGAATCAGAAAGTATTTGTAACACGTGCAGGATGTGACAAACGTCTTGATAGGTGTATAGCAAAAAGATGTTTGTTGGTAAAAGGCTCAATCCACTGTTGTAAATGACAAATAAATTGATCTAATGTATGAGGTCTAAACAGTTGCTGAGGGAACATTAAAATGATGCTTGTACTCCAGATGTATTGCTGGTATCACAGTAAATCTCAGTTGATTTTCCTAGTTTTTTTTTTACACTGTACAAGCGGTGTGTGGTGTGTTCGGTGGTACACACATATAGTACGCACTGAATACTTTGTCAATCGTGACACTCTGTCTATCTAACAGGTTTGTTAGATAGGTGGTCTTCTGACAATCGAGTCATAAATCACGCACAAATCTCTGCTCCCTGACAAGCACTGATAAGTCAGACAGTAACAACAAAACCACCCCTCCAGTTTCTGCTGCTCTACTCTTGCAAATTTTGTCTGTGCGAGAATGAGTGTGTGGGTGTGTGTAAGTTTGTGTGTGTGTGTATAAGGCGTTATGTGTATCTGGCAGTGAAAAATTGATATCAACACAGGCAACAAGCAAGTGGGTGACAAAGGCAGAGAGGGTAAGTGAGATGCACGCTTGTATGTGTGTGTGTGTGTGTGTGTGTGTGTGTGTGTGTGTGTGTGTGTGTGTGTGCAAGTGAGATATGTAAAGTGTTTGAGCAGCAGCAGATACCACGCAGGCAGTTGTCAGTGATACCATAGTCTCTGTGGGAGGCTGGAACTGGTCAAACGAGGAGTCTGATTTCCCAGCTGTGCTGACCTCCTCATCTCTCTCCTGGGGAGTGTCCATCACCGTGACTCCCTTGCCCTGGGCGGGGGATCCCCTCTGGTTGTGGTTCTTCTCATCTGTGGAATTAAGGGCTGTAACACAGAGATATTACTCTCAGTCCAAATCTGAGAGAAGACAAGAGTGGTCAGCAATCTGTGCTTTTGTAACTGATGGAAGTACCAAGAGAAAGGTAGACTAAAGAGATTGAGAGGCAGGTTTTGAAGAGCTCTTGTGTATTTTACTGTACATCAAGCTGAAAATTTTAACATTACTTAAAGACTCAGTTCACCCAAAATTAAAGTAAAGTGAAAATAAATAGTAAATGTCCTCAATAACCATTAGTGGTATTTATCAATGGGGATAGTTTTGAATTGTCTAAAGATAGCTATTTCTGTGATTTTCTTCAACCACAATACAATGGGATTGGTTTTTAATGGTGCACAGAGCGTTAAACAATAAAATGTCAACAGGGTGTGATCACAACAGGGTGTGATATATATTCTGGCCGGGGACCTTTGTTGCATGTCATACACCTCTCTCTCTTACTGTAATTCCTTATTGTATACACTGTATCTGCTGACTGCCAAATAAAAGGCAAAATGCCCCAAAATAACAATAACAATAGAATAAACAAATAAATAAAAGAAAATAAAGCAAAATGCAACCGCAATCTTTCTTTCTAGAAACAGGTGCTACATAGTATGTCACTTCCTCAGAGCCTTCTTGCCAGTTGGAGACACAAGCTATGACTATGATTTGTGAGCTGAACTAATTTAAGAAAAGATATCACGCCTGGGGTGGTAAAATCAACTAATCCACAGCTTAAATACTGCCACTCACTTCAAAAATACTGTGCTTAAAGTCCCTTTTGCCCAAACATTAATCCCAGCTCACCAGTGAGAAGTTACCCAGCTCTTAATGCTAAACCCAAGAGCAAGTTATTTGGTGTTTATAGTATCGTGTAGTTTAAGTAGCAAAGAAAACAAGCTGGCATCACAAATTTGATTTTGAGTCTCAAAAAGGAATGTCTATGAACTGCACCTCTTTAAGAGTTAATTTTATATGTTTTACCCCAAAATGTACCAAATTCATTCAGTATGTTAGTCCAGAATTTCTTTAAACATGATTAAAAATGTTGGGAAAAAAAGAGAAAAGACAGAAAAGGCATAAAGACCCTACTTGCAATGTCCCATTTACTGCGTAGCGTCATCCCTCTCTCTCATACAGTATTGGAGCCCTGCTGCTTTCATATCGGTTTGATGTGTCCGGTGTGTGATGTGACGTCTTTGTGTTGTATATTAGGTTTACAAAAATGCTATTGAAAACAAACTTAGACCGGAGTGCAGAATTGGTAAATCCAGTTCAATGTTCCGTTATTTGAGAGTGGTAAAACAGTGACACAGTTACGTTGCTGAAATATGTTGAGACAGTTACTGTACAGTTTGACACATCTTCTCAAATGATCCACAAGGGTTACATTCAATTCATTAACCTGATGACTTACCTTCGTTAGCCCGGAAGCAGAACACAGGAATTACCACATGACCCTTGCCAGTATTGCCGGCCACCACCTTCTCCTGGTCCAGAACAGACAGACGGATCAATACGTCTGGCTTAGAAGTCTGGAACTGAATTGTTCCAAGGACGTCTGCAGTCACCTGCACAGTGCAACTATGGAAAAGTTTAAAATGATTGTGGGTACCATTCGTCAGAGTATCTTCAATGTGACCTCCTTGAGAAATGAACTGTTATGTTTAGTAAAATATATGAGCTAACTATTGTCACACTTTGTTTCTAATAATCAAACATCTCAGATTCATACACTGTAGTGTAAGAGAGAATCATTGAGAGCTATTAACATCTATTTTTATGACCCACCCCAGGTACAATGGATTTCAATGGACCAATATGACTCTTATCATAAATATGCTAAATAAATATAAAGCCCATAAATTATCTTACCGACATATGAGGTTTTTGGCGTTGGGAATGTAATAATTCCTGAATTCCTTCACTGAGAACGTGTTGAGTGGAGTCTCGCGGGACAGTTTTGGAAGGAGTTCCCTTCCGCCAATCAAGCGCATCCTCCACTTGGCACCAGCAGGGGGGGATTCGGGTGTGACAGCCTCTGCTACGAAGGTATAACCAAGCTGGAAAAAAGACGTAATCATGAAAAACTAAATATTTTTAGACAGATGTAAACAGAGAAAAGCACAATTTACTGTTCTCTCTTTTAGGATTTGTTTCTCATGAATAATACTAGTCTAGAATGTTCCCAACATTATTACACCAGGAGGCCACAACTGGTTGCCGAACAGTCAACAAGTTTGCATCCAGTTTTCGATTGAGTCAGAAAGGAAGCCTTTCTAGATTGAACAAATGTATCATGGTAATATGAAAATCTTCCACACTTACAAAAAAAATATTTTAAATACATGAAGGATGAAGTGCAAGTGCATTTACAGCATCCACAGACCTTGTTGGGTTGGTAGACATGGGGTGCCACTTTGTTGAAGAACATGTCCAGCTCCTCTCCGGTGTCATTGTTTATGACGTGTAGCAGACAATTCGGGAATGGGGAGTAGACCTTTGGTACTAGCTGCATCTCCTTATGAACCAGGAACACCTCTCTTAACAAACAACAAGATATCAGGTCTGACCAAACTGTTGTTGTTTTTTTAACCATTTTTGTTGAAATTTAGAAATGTAATGTTACAGAAATATCTACATTTCCCGGTATTAGCTTTACTAGCAAAAATGAGAGCCGAGTGCATAGATCAAATGCAATTTGCACCGGGATTCACCCAGATTTTCCAAGCCAGGTTGTCAAGCCTAACGAGCATGGCATTACAATGTTCTCTAACCTAAAGACCAAGACCCAGGAGTTGGCTGTGTCTTGAAGAGAGACGGAGTAATCAGCGAAGGTGACTCTGGTCCATTCGTCCTGCTGACAGGGGTAGAGCTCTGTTCTCCTCTCAGAGTGCTCAATGATATACCTGTGCAGAAAACACAGAAATACAAATGTAAATGAAGTATTAAAACCATAATTTTTGTAAAAATATTTTACACAAACTGCTCGGAGAAGCATAACTCTGATGTGGCTGATGATGAGTCAAATCCAGTAATACATTGGAGGAAAGTAGATGTGCTTCATGTCTCAGCGTGAACTTTGACTGAAGTGGATGTCAGTTAAGAAAAACACATGCTCAAGGGTTCACAACACCCAACCAACCCCCGCTCCACACTCAACACACACACACTGACCAAGCTCTTAATGCTCATGCACACGCATACTTCCCCAGGCAGCGGGGCATTCGGCAGACGCTGCTAGCCGATTGGAACAAGGAGAGGATAAACAGCAGATGGTACCACTGGGAAAAGATGGAACACAATGTGGAAAATGCTCCCTGCCTGGCCCGCCACAGGCCGCCACAACCAGAAGAGGGGAGTAGATTCTGGGCACGCAGTGCAACAGAGAGGCTAAATGTAAGCCATACAATGTACACAGCATTGGCACAGGACTGCAGTAGGAGCCCTCGTATCCTCTCATATAACGACATCCTTGTGAATGAATACCAGCTAGGTTAATGAGTTGTGAGATGTTTTGTCAATGTGCGTACAGTTCATACATTGTGTGCAGATTATTCATTATCTTTCATCATTATGTCATAATGATGAAAGATTGAAGATACTTTTTCATTTACCGTAGCAAGAGGGCAGCATGTTTTTCTGCATCTGGTTCAACCTTCGGCCACATGTCTGAAAGGATCTTAGAAGCACTGAGTTTCTCCTTTGTGCCTGAATGACATGAACACACACAGACAAGTAGCCACCATTAAAGATGATGTTCAAACCATTAAAGATGTTGCCATCAAACACGTAAAAAAATGATTGTCAAAGGTAGATAACAGGAATTACAAAATGCATTTTGTGTGTCATTGTGTGTCAGTAGGTGTTTGTCCATGCACATAAGTGAGAGAAACACTGAAGAGACAGATGCATGATAGAAGTTATGTGTCCTCACAGCCTCCCCTCCACCCCCTCCCTCCCTCCCTAGATCAGCGTTCGCTTTTCAAATGGCCACTTTTCGAAATTGATACAGCCATTACATAGCAGGCCATTGGCCAAGGCTGGCTATTGAGAGATGAAGACGTCCTATCATCTTTAGAACCAAAGAGGTTGCCTTTCAGACAGACAGACAAAGAGGCAGACAGGAAGGAGAACATAAAGTGGAAAAGAAAAAAAAGAAAAAAAAATGATGTGGTATAAACGGGTGAGCTGGCACACAAGAAAGGGCCAGTTCTTACCTTTTCAAATGAATGGCTTTTCAAATTGTAGTTAGAAAGGTAGTGTTTTTAAAACATGATTGGTGTTTTATCATTACATAAGAATTTGGGAGAAATTAACCATGACAGGCCTATTTTATAGAAGTCAAGCTGTTCAGCCTCTGCGTGTGCGTGTGTGTGTGCGCGCGTGTGTGTTTGCGCGCCACCAGCAATATATTCGAGGTTGCTGGCTGATTGGTTCTATAATGATGTGGATATTTTGGATGTTTCCGATGCTCAAATTAAATTTTCAAGCCATAAAAAAATACGAAATACGATTTCCATCACCACAATTGTACAGTACTGTTTTATGCAAATACTGCATGAATGAGGTTGTGCGTACTCCCATAGAGGATGTGCAAGTTATTCAGGTGGTGACAGTGTTGTGTGTTAACTTCAGGTCCATGCAATAAATAGAGAATGTTTGAGGAATGTAATGCTGCAAACAGCGGTGCACCTTCACAGTAAGATAATTAGGAACACTTCTGGAGAAAATTGGATTTAAAAAACAATTCAACTGAAAATGAGGAGAAATTTAACAAAAGCAACACATTATTACAAAGAAACATTGATGAATCCATTTACAAAGGAATAGCTTGCCCATCTTTCACTTGCTGTCACTTTTGAGAGGTTTGGCTATTGATGCAGGAATGTTTTGTGCACGTGTGTGTGTGTGTGTGTGTGTACATCCCCTGTGTGGCCACCCCTCATCTGTCAGGGTGTATTAGTAAGAGTGGCGGTCTCATCAATACATATTTGTGCCTCCGCTCAGAGGCTCAATATATGCCATTGGGCTGAATCAAACAGTGAATGTAAGACACAGAGGTGTTTTCTGTGTGTTGTTTTCAGACACTAAATAATAATCTAGAAAACAAAACACAGGTGTTCTGTTGTTTTAGTTCCCTTTATGTGGACCCTTTAGCCATCCCAATCACTGCAAATGTGTTTGCCTTTCAAAACTGGAGCATTGAAGAAGAAAGCGGAATTCAAGACTATCTCGCTAACAATAATAAGTTTGTATGTTCAACTATTCAAAAGGTAATATTTAAACCGGACCATGATATTTGAATGAATACATTTCCAAGGTGTGTGAGTGTTTTCACCTGGTTTTGAGGCATTCAAGATCTCTCGCACTAAGCGTCCTTTGAACGCAGCCTGCAGAATGGTGACTGCCTTGACCTCCCCGTCTGTCGGCTCCCTGTCTCTCCAGCTTTCTGGAGGCTTTGATTCTACATCCACTTTAGAGAATAACAGCAGAACATTGCAAGTTAATATTGAATCGTGAACTATAGGAAAGGCAAAAGGAGATTACTTTCAATTTAATTTATTTAAATCAGTTTATTGTCGTTTTAGCCATGTATACGTAGATGGATAACATACAACATTAACAAACACACAAATGGCACTTGCATGTAGGGGAGTGTTCTTTGGGGTCAGTGGCCGAGAGTGAAGGGTCAGCTGTGAGGGCCAGTATAGCAAAGCGCTCCTCCGATGTCAGCTTCCTGCCCAGAGCCTCAAACAGAATTTTGTAAACTGCAGCGTTAAACACCTACACACACACACACACACACACACACACACACACACACACACATACACACGATGTCCGTAATTAGCAATTGTATGCGTCTGTGTGTCAAAATGCTTATTTTTCCAGGTATTTGGATTTTTGTAATTTACATCCTTGTAAGTGTATTAGAATGACAGTTTAGATAAGAGGTAGTTAGACTCCACATCATTTCATCTTTTTATTTAATCACCGCTGTCTGTCTACAGACATTGATAAGAAGGAGATTTCAATTTCAACAGCCATTTAATGCAAATTCTAAACTTTAAAAGCAATGTATATTTAAATACAAACACTTCATCAGGCTTAGAAAACATGTTATTTTACTATTCAAACAAGTAGAAGAAGCAGCTTTGTGAAAAGTGACACAGATAATCATGAGTATTAAGTATTATTAGTATGAATGGACATCTTTTTCACTCATTAACTCAATTACATACTTCACGGGAGTACTACAAAATGTGAATTAGCCAATCCGACTGCATCTAGATGTAGCAACTGTAGTATAAAGCAAGGTGAGCTGTACAGTAATGTACCACACAACTGCATAGGACTATACTGTGTAGGTGAACAAGCTACCTTGCGGTGTTGCCCTTTTCCCAGGGTGGTGTTGATGTTTTGGGGGCAGTGAGCCTCTTCCAGGGTTCTTCTGGCTGCTGGCTGGTCCTGCTCATCGCTAAAGGAAGACACCAATCTGGAAAGGGCCCTCCATATGGACGAAGCCTGGTCAGTGAAACGAGCACTTTCCTGTTTAAAAAAAAGGAAAGCAGTGGGGTAGCAGTTATATTGTGTCTACTGTTACAAGCAGAATGCGAGTTAAATAGAGGAGAAAAGCAGAACGGCCACAATACCAAGACATTTCCATGTGAACTTTGGTGTTGAGGCATCATCTTACTACCACGATGTGATTTATAAAATTGAAGCTGGAGTAGGCCTTATTAAAAAATGTTACAGCAAGCACATTGCAACTAGACCTATTTTATCCTGTCCGTCTCTCTGTTCAACCAAGTTGTGTTCTCTACTTTTTAAATTGTCATGAATTTGAACAGGTTGTATTTACAGGTTGTATATGTTTTCTTTGCTCTCAGTGCTTTCTAGTTCATTTGTTTCACACCATTGTATTTTAACTCATTTTAGCTTTTATGAGCAAGGAAGTGACTTTGAGTCAAAGGAAATTGCTGTGAGTGTGTACTCAGACTAAAGAGAAAGAGAAAATCTAATGTACAGTACATTATCCACAGATGGATCCTCATAAGCATTATCCACAGATTAAAAAAATTATTAAATGAACATTCCTTATTCAGCAAAAAAGCTAAAATGACTTTGTGTTTTATCAAATTACTATCAATGTCAACTGACTGCTTCGAACACCTTGGTAAGTTGTGACATGATGGTTTCTTCATCCCCAAACAGGAAAGATGTCTTGCTGCAAAGGTGAACATGGTAGCCCAGTGCTGCCTTTGTGTGGAAGGACAAGACATGGCGCCTGGAAGGGAGACAAAGGAAGCTTTTTTAACAAATAATCCACTACTGTCCATTTACTGGACAATATCAATTATTCTAAAACAGGGGTTCCACATCGATTTGGCTTGTGATACATTATGAAGATGAAGTCTATTCATGACTCCTTTTCACTGGCTGCATATGTTGCTACAAGGCCAATTACAGAATGATGTTGCCTTCTTAGAGTTTCATTCAAAAAGATTTAGAGGCCCGCAGAAACTATCTTGATCTTCAATAATAAATAAAAATACAAAACACAAACTTTTTTCTTTTTTCTTCTTGTTAATTATCTCAAGACCTCTGATTTATCTTGTGACCCCTTGTGGTTCCTGACCCCCAGGCTGGGCTCTAGACGATTTACTTTATTTTTTCATTGCATTACTAAGAGGAACAATGGCTAAATATTAGGCTACTAAACTTAGGAAACTGATATCAAAGAGCACAGAGCTATCCCTCCACCAACAACCCTGTGGCTTCACAGTATTTGGTAATATTAATTGCATAATCATAGATAAAAATGCATGAAACTATGTTTCTGTCAAGTAATACTGAGTGGGTCAAACAGTCAGAACTGATGTAGCCTAATGTCCTGCCTACCAAGTGCTAAGCTAAGTTCACAGGGCCTGTTCAGGCATGAGAGAGTGGAACCCTGCTTCCTTGGCCCCATTAGCTTTACATAATTCAAACATCACAGCCTAACTAGATGGATGAGCACTGGGGCAGAGCTGGGCTTGTGCTCTGGACAGCATATGAAAGAGAGAAAAGAAGGTGAAGAGTATGGGAAAAATGTAGAAGACGACAGCACACAGGGTCAGTAAACAGATTATAGAAAATAACTAGAGTACCTCATACAGATGGGCTATCAGGGACATGAGGAAAAGAGGTGGGGTGCTGCCCAAAAGCCTGGACATGTCAGCTATTCTCTCTTGGAGAGAGTGTACTATGGGGCACATGGGCATGATAAGTTGAGTGCTATGAGTGTAATTATGGCTCAGTGGTAATTGCACTGCTGCATACCTGCACCTGACCCCAGAAATTAGGCCCTCTGCTTCTAGGCCAAGTAGCACCCATTAATAGAGACCAGGATGGATGCTTTTTACTGCTTTTCAGAGCATCTGAGGTAGGCAGATGTTCTCTGCCTGGCTGTAAAAATCATGACAAGAGTGAAACTCTTTCATCGAAAGCTCCCAAGTGCGCTGTCCAAAAAATGCATATATTTTTATAATAGGTTCCCATGATGGGAATTGAAGCTCTAACCTTGGCATCATTAATGCCAGGCTGATGAGCACTGAGGGTAATTTAGGGTTATGAGATTCAAGCGTGAGTGGAAAAAGGAAATGTGAAAAGCGATGACATTTTGTTTGGATTCTTATGTTAAATGTGAAAATTTACATAAATTGATGAGTTTAAATACAGTATATCAGAAAATTGCCAGAGTATTAACCAAGCAAACCTATGATGAGACTAACTGGTCACTCGTGTGAAGACTTTTCCTAGTATGGAGTAGAATGTTTCATTAGCATTGCATGGCAATATCAAGATGTCAATATCTTTACACAGACACACAAAGCATGAAATGGTATACTAACGGATATACTACTGTGTTATAGTTAATGGGGATTACAGAGTCTGGGAACATAGATTTTTTGACACCCTAGTCTGATCATGAGCTTGATCTAAGCTTTTAATTGTGATCAATACAGTACACAGTTCTCAGTGTTCATTAAGGCTGTCCTACCCGGGGGGTAAGTTAAACATGGTGGCCTTTGAGGAGGTGGTCTTGATGGTAAGTACTGGCAGATGAGATTGCAGGCTTCTCCAGGAGTAGGCCTGGGCGATGAGAACTGAAGACCTACATGCTGCGGACAGTTCCTTTTCTATGAGGTGTTGGAGAGTAGAGAGAAAATGTGTACTGGTGAAATATCAAACACATAGTAGGTCATATCCATGGAATGTTTTTATGAATATGTACATATACTGTTTATTCCAAATAGGTTCCAGGGTATGGTTTGTGCATACTTATAGAGAGTTAGAATTGCCGTTAGCAAATTTTCATCCCCCTCATACTGCCTTCTGGATGTTAGAGACTTGAGTCAAGCTCCTTACATTACATGCATAAGAAAATCCTTTTGTTTGTGAGCATCTAGGTAGGGGTGTGTGTGTGTGTGTGTGTGTGTAGATAAATCCTTACTCTCTTCAGCTGCATCTCCCCAGAGAAGCAGAGCAGAGAAGCTGATGAGGATCTGGAGAGGTTGCAGGCTGTCCACACACAGGTAGTAAGTGCCTCTCACCTCTGGACACTGGGGGGTGGGGGTGGGGGGAGATACAAAGACACACACATACACACTGGCATTACTTATCAGTGTGAAAGCAGACAAGGAAAAGAACAAGTGAAAGAGAGAAAGAGCAGAAAGCTGTAGGGACGAATGATAGATAAACTGATAGAAGGGTGGCTTAGTTCAAGAGACGGTGGATGAAAACACAAAGGAAGAGAGGGAAAGAAGGGCAGGTAAATGGAGGTAATAAGAAGAGATAGAAAAGAGCCGAGTGAGTTAAAGAAGCTTTTTAAGGTGGTACTGACATAGGAGAGTAATATAAGAAAAAGCATCCAGTGAGAAAGACAAAAGCAGGAGACCGAGAGATGTGCAGAAAAGACAAATAGAGAACAAGAGAAGAGGGAGGGAAGGCATACGTGTCTGGAGTGACAAGCAGACTCAGCAGTCTATAAACACAGACGTGCAAACTCACACTAACACACAGTCAGACAAAAACCTGCGCTACACACAAATGCACACTGTTTTTTACACGACTACGGTACTTTTACCAGACACCAAATCAGACTAAATGTCTGTTGTGCTGGTGCCAGTGAAGCAGATAGCGATTACATTTATAATGTATTCTAAGATCCTCCTCATTACTTACAAAGCTTTGCACAGCTTACAATCTGTGGATATCCTTGAATTTCTAATCCTTCAGGAAGCTGCATCTTTTTTTGTACCTAAGATAAATGACCTGTGCCTAGAGCCTACTGCTGTGGCCTCAGACTCTGAAACAGACTGCCATTAAATGTTTGGGCAGCAAACCTCGTGTCAGTCTTAAATGCATGGTTCATTGTTGGCCTCGGAAAAAACAGTTTGACAAAACACCCTTAACTAAAAGGTGTAGCTATTTACAAGATGCCAAAATGTTTCTGTTCACCCTTGAACAGAAACAGGGTTTAAGATGTACCCATTTATCATGTGCTCATATCTCTTGAAATGTCTAAAACCGATTTTTTTTAAATATTTTCCCACAGGACTCTGAAGTTGTTAGTTAAATGATCATTTCGTTATTCACGGTTTCTCTCCATTAATGGTAGTAAATGATGTAGAGGCTCTGTAAATATTTGAAGCGTGTGAAGCTTAGAGACTTGCCAGACACACATCAGTTATCTGCAGGGCGTCCATGTTTTCCCAAGCAGACGTATGTGGGATGCATTTAGATTGGAAGTCGGGAATACTGACTCGGAATTATCCATTTCCGACTTGCAATGTACTGCAGCATGTGTACAGAGTAAGATTGAATCACACATAGCACATTTTATGCTCATTTGCATTTCTTGGAGCATGTGTGTGATTCTGTGTGTTTGTATGTGTGTGTGTGTGTACTTCAGGGCTTGCTACAGTAGATTTCACAAGGAGGGATCCAGTGGAGTCTGTAGATGACCCAGTACAGTTGGTGCCTGTTGCAGTTTTGGACAAGACTGCTCTCTGCAGAACACAACAGCAACATTAATAACAATCTATCCAATACAAACAAAAAGCATTAATGTGTCAAAAACACGGAAAAGTTTGGGAAAATATCAGCACTGGAGACCAAACATTCAGAAATAAGTCACATACTTTACCTTAAAATGTGATTTATGGATATGATGTGGGTAGATTTGCGGTTTATGAAACACCAAGAGTGTCCTGGAAGAAAATGACAAATAAATTAATAAAAGCAATTATAATCTTTACCACATCATTGTTTAGCCCCTTCAACCATTCTCTTCTCACAACTGTCTGTGTTTATCGATTGGTACAGTATGTTTGCAGTACATAAGTACATATTTGTGTGTGTGTGTGTGTGTGTGTGTCTCTCACTGAAAGCATTTAGCAAAGTCATTCAGGTCCATCCAGGTCTTCTGCATGATGGGTTCCTCAGTTACAGGCTCCTCCAATGCAGTTTTGGGTTGATCTGGAAGGGAGATTCATTTATGATTAATATTGTTATTAAGAAACATTTTTGGTGGGTTAGACATTCACTTAGAGATAGAAGAGATATGGATTATAAAGTACTTTAATTAATATCAGTCATTATTGTTAATACAACTCTGCAGCATCTCAATACATGTCCTTATCAAGCTAGTAGCATGAGAGATGAATGGCGCTTTTCATGCCACACTTAATACCAAATAGATATAGACCTGCCTGTGAAATCTCACATTTTTCAAAATGCTGCAAGTAAGAAAATGCTTTCCCTCTTGTGACTCATAGCAAGTTATCCTAGATTCAAAATCATTATCTTAAACACAGTGCGCCGAATTGGCCAAACTCCCACATAATGGCATAGTGTAAGCGCACATGCACATCCATACTCCCACTCACTCACTCCCACTTACTCAATGCATGCAGAGCAAAGTCATAGACAACTGCACACAGACACACTCTCCACCAAAAGAACAACAGACATGCGCACACATACACACAGTTGCTCTGTGCCCGCAGGCTCTTCTCAAAGTGAGAAGTCTGATCAGAAAGCTGAGGCTGCGAGGGCCAGTGTCTCTGCTGCTGAGCAATGGTGGTCCGCTAACTCAAACTGCAGGTGTTACTAAGCAACTAAAACGGGGGCAGAGAGAAGGCAGGGAACTGGCTCGTCATGAGGCATGATTTCAGTCCCATCTTCTTCAAAGTGTCTTGGCCAACAGACAGAAGCATGGAGAGAAAGATGGAGGGAGTAAAGGCGACAAATGGACATCCTTTTAATCATATTAATACTGGCTACGCTGCACATATGCTGTTCAAGTCGACCAATAACGAAGACCTTCACTACATTCATCATTACAATAAAACTGAATTAATGAGCATCCGCCCATTCTGGTCGCCTAATATTTGACCTCAGATAAGGCAACTTTATTTTCAACATTAATGAAGGGCCGCGCAATGCAAAAGAATAGCTTTTACCATTGGAGATGTCATCATTGTCCTTCTTCATGTCCTTTGCAGTAACCTTAGGGGGAGGGAGAGAGAGAGAGAGAGAGAGAGAGCGAGAGAGTGAGAGGCATGAACAGTGAGTTGCTGCTAGAGTAACACTGCCAGAGATACGCCTCCGCCCTCCAGTGATTCCATGCCAGCTGTGGTGTAGCGCCATTCTTGCCGAACACCACAGGACACGAGACACGGTTTAATGTGACAAGGGCTGCTCCAGCAAAAAAAAAAACACCACCAGGGAATACCAGCTCTAATTTACTTTGAGACGAGTTATTATGTTGTTTAGCATGTTTCCTCTCTTAGAGGGGGATTACGCAAATGCTCGGATTTCATGCTCGTCTGCCCGACACAATAGAGAAATACAGCTAATGAGTCATTATCAAATCCTTCAAATACCACACACACTTCTGTGTGAGCAAGGCACGAGATGGTGTGATCAGGAGAAGGGCATCACCGCTGCTTTGATAACTAAGCTAGATTCAAGTGGTACACCTGTATCAGCTAGCTTCACTTTCCACCAGAGCCCTGGTGAATGTCCAACAGTTTACTTAGCTCTGAATAGGAATCATGTCTTTGTGTGGTGTTACTTCAAAGCAATACCAGCCAAGACTCTCTGGGTGATTCAGAGTGAGTGTGTGTGTGTTTGTGAGTCACCACTTATTTGAATAAGTACCCGGAGACCCAGACAGACGGAAAGAGGCATTTGGATTGGGAGGTACACTTGACCTCCTCTCTACCACTATAGCAACACTTCCACTGCAACAAAAAAAATGTGAATGTGTGTGTGAAGAGTGTTTTAGCTCTAAGGCGTGGTCATGTCTCATCCACCCACAGCATGCTATTTATTAGATTGCTTACCTGTGTACAGTAAGAGGACATTCAGACTGATACATCTTACACACAAAGCTCCCGGGATTTTAAGCTGCTACTTTTGGAGCAGCAGCCATTTTTTTTTTCTGTGATCACATCACAGTTATGGGTTGATGGGTAGACGAAAGCACATTTCTTTAATCCCACACTTCATGGGGCTTTATTTTCCACAGCCAGAGTTAAGTCTTTGCTCTCCAAGAAACTCTCTCCATATTTCACATTTATAAAGTGTACATGAAAAAAAATGTTAAATACAATCAAGTTAAATATCTCTTTGTTGCAATTTACAGTAAGTTGACAAGCAGAAGGATATTCACTGTTAAACCAGGATCGAATGATTTTACCCACACTAATGTTGAGTGAGTAGGCCATAGAGGGTATTAGCGACAGCATGTGACGTGACCTTGCTATATTTTAGGAGCTTGGCACAGAGGTTGATATCGTTGCTGACAGAAACAGAGGGAGGGGTCCAAACAGCAAAAAACAAACCTTCTCACTTGATGTACAGCCCCCTCAGCACGTGACCCACCACACGCTTGCGAAGAGCGGGAAACACACAGAGTAAAAATGTGGCACACATACTCAAACCAATCCACATGAGTGCACGGTCACATGCACATCAAACCCAAATGACACATCAAATTAGCATGTCCATACTGCCCTAGCCTAACCGCGCTATAACTGGTCACAGTTACACAAGAGGGCGATTAATATAAACTCTATTTTTTCTCTGTATTCTAGGAGTGAAGTGTAATAATGAACCCCCCAGGAGACGCAGACACTGATGGCTCACCATCTAATTGCACTGCTTTTTTCCATCAGCACAGTACACGACCTCTCCCTGTATGAAAACCCACGCACTCCGTTCACCACCACCACCAACACACAACAGAGGTTCCCTTTTCTCTTTTCTCTGTGTTTGCTGCTCTGCTTTCATCTCTCCCTGTCCAACTGTCACTTTCTCTCCATTTTTCAGTCCCCCTCCTTTCGTATTCTGTATAGTTGCCCCCCTTCTTTATTCCTCTCCATCATTGTTTCTACTCTCATCTCTGTGTCTGTCTGTCTCTCTCTCTCTCTGGTGCTGCCCGCCCTCATCTCCCTTCCCTCACTGGATCCGTCTTTAGTCGGCAAGTGCCCCTGGTCAGTGGTGGCCTGGCTGGGAGACAAGAGAAGTGACTTTGAGACTGGGGGATGGCAGCCTTGTTGTCACTGACACACAGGGCTACTCTGATGAGCCTTCAACTGCATACTTACAAGGCAGACAGTGGGGGGGGGGATGAAACTAGGAAATAACATACAGCTGTTAGTATCTTAGTTGTTGGACAACAGGCATTACGCTGGGCTTCACAGATCCTTATACCTCTTTCAATAAACACTGTGGGTATCTACAATTTATTGAGGTTTTAAGATGCTCCTTAAAATGTTAAACACACACACACTCTGAATATAGAAATCATCTCTGTGCCCCAGCAGACAGTAGTTCTATGTACCTCTATTTTGTCTACTCTGTATTCGGTCTCCTCTCTCTCGGCAATGGACACCAGAGGGGATCCGTAGGAGCGTTTCCTCTGGGCGCTCTGCATGGCCTCTCTGTTATGTAGACATATAGCACATGCACACATCATATCATACCGCATCTCATCTCACGGTGACACATTTAGAAGCAATACATCATATCATCTACAAATGAGTCATGCATGTCACATAATAGACATCAAATGACACCAGAACAACATAACACTGTAACACCGTAACGCTGCTTTGATATGTGACTTTTTTTCTTAGCTTAAGAATGCAAGCAAACATTTCTTTAGGTGAATATAGTGGGGAAAAAAACAATCTTGATAACATTGTAGGCTTCGACACCCATATAGTTTAAATTTTTCAACTGCTACCTGTATCTCATTACCCTGTTGCAGAGAGAATGGTAGAGTAAGAGGATGAGGAAAAGACTAATGAGATCATGATAACGTTCTTTTTTGATCCCCAGATGGAGTCTGTTTTCCTGCTTTGCTTTCTCTACAGTGAGGTGACAGTGAAGGTTAGCTAGTATAGAAAATACTTTAAACGACACAGTTAAGTGTACACACAACTCAGGTATCCGGTCGACGCTGCTCTTAGCAGGATAGGAGAGAAAAGGGCTGGCGACCTCAATGAACTTCTCTGGTTTTGACAAAGGAAGCTCTGCGAAAAGAGAAAAGGGAGAAAAAGAAAAAAAAGTCTCACACATCATGCCGGCACTGCTTTTTACTGCATTTTTTTGTTTCACCCACAGATCAGCTGATGCCAGATATGCCCAAGCCAGTAGCTATTTTCATTACAGAAATATTGTAGCTATCCTCCTTTTTTTTTCATTTCAGCATGCGGTACTGCATGCCCTCTGTGCAGCAGGTTCTGAAGCTCCTGCATTAGCACTCACTCTCCTTTCAAGTCATATTTATTCATGAAATGCACCTACACTCTATCACATAATTTGTGCTTTTCTATTTGTTTGATATCCTCCCCTGCATCCTACTCCTGGTTTACCCCTCGCTAGCAATTTTTCCAAACTTAATTTTTTCATTTCCTGCCGCCTCCTTTGTCTCTCACGCACTTTGTGGTTCATCGGTGACCACGATCTCCTTCCGCGGGCGGATGAGTTTCCATTGGGGTACAGGTGGAGGTTTGGGTGGTGCCTCCAGCTGGCATGCCCTGGTTCTTGTCAACAGAACAATGTGGCTGTGCAGCAAGGAGAGACCGTACTGACGAAGATACTCTGAGGAATTAGCCTGCGTACCCGCATATAGACAAAGAGACAGAAATAAACACACATGCAGTACTCACTCGTGAAAATACATGAATACAGTTTAAAACATTCTCCCATACTGAGAATTACTGTCACCTGTAACCAACTCGACAGATGAATCAAGTCAAAACTCTCAAAATGGGATTCTGACCGAGGATCAGAGACTGGAGGTGATGAAACACCTCCGACAAAAATAAATCCTGTCAAATAATTATCCTTAGCATGGATGTAAATAATAAAACAAGTGAAGCCTGTTGAGGAGAAGCATCCAAATAGAACACACCATGCCCCCAGGTCACAAGCACTGTTATGTTTCATCTCCACCACCCACTTTGGGGATCTAGATAACATTTTTCACATAACTGTGCTATATAATAGAGGTGATTAAGATAGTATATATTTTTAACAAGTACTGAAATAATTATATGTTTTCACATTGTAACGTGTGAAATTCACCATTTAAAATGACTCTATCTTTATATTTATTTGAATGCATATGGGTAAACACACAAATGAGCGAGAATGTCTCCATGAAGGTTAAACCTTAAAGATGCTTAACGCGAGATTGGGAGCATTTGAAGATCTGAATAGTCTACAGTAGGTGAAATCTCATTTTCATAGATGCTGATGCTTCTCGAATAAGCTAGTGTATGCATAGCCAGCGAGAGAGGGGGAATAGAGAAAAGACAAACCATTTGTCCAAACCCAAAGGAATTGTTATGTGGCTGTAGTGGGTAGTAGCTGGCACACACCACTACCTCGGGGGTACCTGAGGAATGCACACAAAGACATAAGTAAGTGTCGGTATATGCAAACTCACACAGTCAAACATGCACACACATGCAAAATGAGAGACAATGTCACTGAAATGATTGACTAACTGATTCAACTTATTGATATAATAAAAATGTGTTCCATCTACCAATGAAAAGTTAAAAGTAAAGCTGATACAGACAATAAAAAGCTACATTTCTAAATCAATGTAAAATGTAAGCCTGGAGATGTGACAGCACTATTGGCCTCCACAGGTATAAATAAGGCAACAAGAGAGAGTATCTAGGTTATCTATGGATGGCCCTTTCCCCCATGGTGCATCTCGGAGTATGGTATGAGGAGCACATGGGCCAGGAGACATGGAAAATCAATTTGAAGGACCATGATGAAGAGAGATTGAAGCGCTGCTACACTAATATAAAGGCTACACAATAAGAATTGAACAGAGAAGTGGTTCTCATGCTGCATAGTGATTTATGCATTTCAATCTATGTATTTCAATGGAACACTACAGAGGGCACCGAAAAAAGAAAAGAGAAAGAATGTTAAGGTTCTTTTTGTGTTTGCATGCTTGTATGTGAGCACCATGTAATGCATTTCCCTAAAGGATAACTGTTCTGTGAAGTAAAACAACTTTGTGCGTGCATGTCATTACATTATGTTAGTAATATCCAACACCTTTGTTATTGTAAACATGTGGAATTGTAGAAGAGACCGAGTCACAGATTACTGGCAGAGAGAACAGGTGGGTAAATATGAGAGCAAAAGAGAGGGAATTGAATTCATACTGCGGCCCACTCGCGTTAATGTGAAGGCGCAAGTATTTTTTTTTTTATTAATTGTACAAACTTTAAAAAGCCTTTACTGTATCTCTTATGACCTGAAACAACTCCAAGCCACACACTCTTTTCTGAGGACACGTTTCAATCCTGCCTTCATCACATAACCACATTCGACTTGGGAGGCTCTTCTGCCCTGCGGGAACACCAAATAATTCACCCTGCCACTGCTCCCTCTGCTGGCTTATTTATAGTCCACCATACACACATTAACCCTCCATCCGCTACATAATACATGGACTTGGGAAAACAGGAAGTGATGCTTGAAACATCAGGAAAGAGGCAGAGTAGCAATGGCAGGAAAATGTAGGTCATTTGCAGGATGGCATGATAGTGACCAACGGAGTAAATCAACAATCAATGCTGTGAATTCTAAAAGGTTTAAGCGTTATTACTGCAATAAAAGAATTGAATCATTGATACGCTTGAGTTTTTGCAGGACAATGAAATATTCATTGTCATGCACCATAGAAGTTGAATTATGGATGCAGAGGGAGGAAAATGGAGATTTACACACTGTGCACACATACTGTATACAAATATGTAGTACAGTACTGCACATATAGATTGATATCATTGACTAACTCAATTAAATGTCCAAGCAAAGTATGTTATGTATGTTTCCGGGTATGCATGTGTGCATATGTGTTTGCCTTTCTGTGTTTGTATGTCTTTGTGTCTGTTGACAATTCAGACCTTGACTTTTCTCTGGCTCTGGCAGCTGACTCTCGCTGTCATTACAGCTGGAACGTCTCCCTGCAGCTTGATCTGCAGTCTGAGACTTCGTCTCCGGCAAACTCTCATCTGGGTGTGCGAATATGGGAATGGTGTCTTGTAAGAAATCCCACGTTTTTCCCAGGTATACAGACCTGAGAGGAAGTTAAATAAACTAGGTTACAGGCTACAAGGGATGACATTAATATAAAATCTGAAAAGATGTTAGCGTATCCAACACAAAATTACAACTTTTGAGCACTAATGTTGAGCTCTCATGTCTATCATTGACTTCTCCTATTCCAGATGACATCTACTGTTTCTGCACTCTGTCTTAGCCCTGATAATATTGCAGTTTCTGTTCCCGTTACTGTGTATATCCCTCTATTTGCAATACAATGGGCTACGGTTGTTACTTCTCTCTCTACAAAAGTACATAATACTATCATCTCTCTACTTCAATACGTCCTTTGGAAAATAGTTTTTACTGAAGGCAAGCTAAGCTTATTTGTATCGCACATTGCAAACACAAAGGCTATACAGCTCCCAGACACAACAGGTTCCTGTTGTGTTATGTGTGTGTGTGTGTACAAGCACATAGGACTGCAAGCCGATGTGTCGCGAATCAATGTGAAACACAAACACTGCCATACTCAGTGCTTGTAGGTATTGATAGATTCCCAAGGTGACTAACAGCAGGTTACCTGCTGAGCAACAGAAGAAAACACTCCAAAATACTGCTGCCCCATTAAAGTTCTATCACTGACAAGCTGAGAATCTCCACTCCGCACTGCCTCTCCTCCCGCTTTATCATGAATTTCCTTGTTTCCATTTTAGACCCGAGTTGTTTCCCCCAAAGAGTGACTTTCCATATTATTGTAGACAAATACACTTCTCTCTGCCTCTTTGTTCCAGTATGCTTTATAAATTAGGAAAAATCCACAGCTAGTCACACTGTGTGAGTGCATTTTGGGCCACAGCCTTTATTGTGATAAAACTGACAATAGTCAGTTCAATTCTCACAAGCATTCTATTAACAAAAGGCACGAATATGGGGGACACTTACATACAACAATTATCACAAGAGTGGAGTAGACCAATGAGGACCTTACTTTATCGGACAGATTTCTGGGATCCAGCCAGTGAGGGTGTGGATAAAGGTGAACTCGCCCATCTCTCCGTAGACCTCAGATACTACACTGAGAAACACACAAGGAGCGGTTTAAAATAAGAAAAAGACAACTGTGCAAGAAACCCAGCAGTCCCAGCAGACACCTGGGCAAAGTTTGGTACCAGCTGAGTATGAAGCCTTTTCACTATGACTCGTAAATAATTCATAAGAAGAAAAGCTCCTTTGTTTCCTGTCTTGGATGAAACATTTATGTCTCAAACTTCTGTGGGCACAGCCACCTTTACGCACGCTATGTTGCCCCGTCGCAGACACACACAGTGCCCGTCTGTCACCAAATTCAGGACAGCTCCATGGCAGAGATTAGGCCAGGTGAAGGTTTAGCTTAGTCAGCAAAATGCACTCTGTGGGCATTCTTGTGCATGAGTGTAAGCTTGAAAAGGTCCGGTTTACTTTATTAGGTTCAACATGCACGTACGGTACGTGTCAGCCAGGAAATTAACATCCTCAACCCTGATTTCTCCTGAAAATTCTCCTTCTGTAATTTTAGACCCACATTTAAAAAGGTGCTTGATGCGAGATTTGGAGCATTTTGATTGCTTCGCAACAGCTCTTAACATGGCGATGCCTGAGCCAGCAGCTAAAGGTGCAAACAGCACTAACGGTACTTAGTATGCAGAGTTAGTATACAGAGTAAGTACGCATAGTGTGTGAGTTATTTCTACAGTGGTCGTATTAGAGTGACACATTCTTGGAATAAGCTTGAGTCTGTTCTTCAGCCGTCTTACTTTTAAGACTATTATTACGGTTTCCCAACTCCTTATGGCAGCACTGAGATATGTATGTACGTTATGGTTGGAATGTACAGTCACTCACTTTGTGTTGGCCACTTTAACGAGAGCCTTGGCTAACAACATTGGCCACAGCTCCGACTGACAGGTGGAGGCAGGAAGAAGAAGCTTGTTTTCCTCATCAAATGGCATCGAATCATCTACTGTTATCTTCCTCCAACAACCCTAAAAGCAAGGGAGGAAGACACAGAGTGAACATAGAGTTTAACAATCAATGCACCTCAAGTAGTAGTTCTACGAAATGTAACATCGTTTTATGTCCTACGACATAAAATGTGCTAGTAAATAGGCCACTCGTGAATTTTGAAGCTTTTGTGTGTCTTAAAAAGAGTGGTTGCTAACAGGTGGCTAAATGAGACTACTAAACATCATCCCACCGAACACTAGTCCTCCTTCAGCTTTGTGGTGTTTCTTTTTAGCCTAAACTTAGCTTTTTACTTCTGGCAATTGTAATTGTATTGAGTCTCAGAATCCTCAAAAATTCAGTTCAGCTTCAAAAGAGGCATCACCTCAGAGCATAGCATACTATCCTGAAACTGATGAAAAACTGTGTTTTGCTACATGCATTGATTAATATTTTAGCTGCTATACATTCCCTCTTGCAACTCTGAGCCTCTCACTCCAGAATGGAGCATTGCCTTCAGGCAGAGTAGTGAAGTGGCACTGGCATCGACTGATCAGCCATCAGCTGATTCATCCATGCTCACTATCATCGTCTCATGGATGCATCGACACGTCGGCCGTCAGCTGACTAGTAGCATCCAATCACAATCATAGGAGTGAACTAGGTAGCCTTCCTAACCTTACGATTCAAACTTTTATTTTGCTGAAACCTTCGTGCAGCTCCCTCCAACACCTCAAACCCCTCCAAAAGTGCTAAGATTTAGGTATTGTTCTCTCTACTAGGATCCAATTCACGCACGCTAACAGGTTTGACTGAATGTATACTTTAGTGTGTTATGCCATGTGTTCTCCCACTGCTCAGATTCCTTCTTTATAACCATTTGCATGTCAGAGGAAGCTTGTCTAAACTCCCAAATCCTTTACCAAACAGTCAGCAGATGGTGGTGGGAGATACAACTACATTTAAAAAGGTAATAAGAGGAGCTGAAGCATAAAATCTCGGATATGTGATGTTCCCATTGCAACACCTCTCCTAGCATTAGCTACCTTATGCTTGCATATCCTGTTTGGTGTCAGAGCTTGTTACATGCTGTCTGCGGAGTGGTCTGTCTACTGGCCATCTGGGGCAGTTTCACACTGCTTGTAAGAAAAAGCAGCACAAGCAGGTGATAATCTGACTGACTGTTCACAGCTGTGCCTCTCCTTATCTATCAGAGCAGTGTGCACTAGCAGGACTAGATGCAGTGTGGGGGCGAGCACACTTTATTTCTTTCTTGCTTGTTCTTCCACTGTTTTGTCGAGCCATCGCCTCGACGAGGAGCTCGATGTGTTCGCAGATGGGGTAAACTACAGTGTGAAAAGAGGAAGCAAAGCAGGAAAGGAGAGACAGAGTTGTGTAGGACGGTGGAAAACAAGGTGAGAAAATGAGAATGGAATGGACATTCACAGCGGCGTGAAGGAGAAAAAAGAAAGTCGGTGTGGAACGATACGGAATCGAATGAGCAGGGTAGAAAAGGAGTATCCTATGAGCAAAAACAGGCGAGGAAATGGAAGGGGCGGTTGGGGGCTGGGTGCTTCATGCAATCTCAACAACCATCTGGTAGCGTGCTATGGTTGGCACGGGGACCGCTGCCTACAACCGTGTCATGCTTGTTTGTCAAGGCACGAGTCACAGTGTTACAGAACACAATCATTTTTAGCTCTGTCTTTTTTCACTCTCTCGCTGACCCAAATCGTAGAACTGGAAGAAGTTCCCTGTCTGAGATGACACATTGATGTGGTATCTCCCGTACATGGAGATCTGTGGAAAGCAACACACACACACTGCAACTCACAGGCCAGCAACTTCAACCTGTATCACAATGCAATGATGAGCTTTATTTAAACAGGAGAAAAAAATCCTTACACTCGCACGTAATCAATATGATTGACACTGCAGTGCACAAAGCCCTCCAGGGGTTGTGCCTGCTCTCATGGTCTTACTAGGCATAGATACCCAACTTGAGCCTTGCTCTCTGAGTAGAACGATATCGTTCTATTCATCAGAGAATATATGAAGCCCGGACACTTTTGGCACAGTAGTGAGACTGATTGATTTGAGCCCTGAGTGGATAAGAGTTTCTCATCCCTTCCCCCCACCAACCCTCAGTCCATCCCCACCCACCTTGCATCTGCGGCATCCTCTGTGGTCTGATCTTACAATGCAATTTCATGTCATCCATTTCCTAAAATGCGCCTCTAAAAATGTCTGACTACCAAAGAGGCGTTGTGAAGCAGTGACTTCATCTTCAGGGATGTCAACATGTTGGATCCACATGTGTGGATGGGGGTTTGTGTGCATGTGTGTGTGTCAGGCTCACCATCCAATAGAGTCTGACCACGTATTTCCCATAGTTGTTATAGAGAGGCACATGACCTTTCACCACATTACACAGCGAGTAGATGTGCTCCCAAGGTCTCCAACAATCTTCTGTAAATATGCCGTTATGCAGCGTCTGAACAATACAGATCTCACTAATGAGCCACCTCATCAGCTGGATCGAAGATGGAGGAGAGAAGGGAGACAAAAGTAATCATTAGTTTAACAACCACCAACCAATCTTTAAATCTATTGGCTGAATCTAATCAATTATCTGATTAGAAGGGCATTGCATTACCCCCCCCCCCCCCCGTCTATTTCATTTCTGTCACTCAAACATCACTCCGTCTGACATCTGAATTACACTATCCAGGTGCTGTTCGATACAGGTTACCAAAAAGTCAGCGCGATCTCACATAGAAAAGTAGAAAACAACAGTTGACACTAACCTCACTGCAAATAAGATGATCATTGGGGGAGATTAGGTCAAAGGTGATCTGATTTTCAACAACGGTAGGGACCTAAAATAAAGCACATCATTGTTTTCATTAAAAGGCACAGACTGAAACATTCCACCTCCGACAAACTGACGTGAATATGTAACCTGCTTAGTACTTAGCTGCTCATCCCAGGTCCTAAACTGGTCTCACCTTGTAATGATACTCCCAAGAATGTGTCTGGGATGCATATTTCACTAACAAGTTAATAGACTCTACTACTTTACTAATTAAGAATAAATGAATGTGTCAGATGATGGTGAGAGAGCTCAGCTGCGGGTCAAGGTATGTTGTGTTTTTTCTCCCATCATCACAGCAGATCTAAGTGAGAGCAGAGCTTTAAATTATTTCCGTCAATAACACTGGCTTTGTAAATACAGACGGGTAAAGACTGATGAAGAGAGTGTGTCACAGTACAGCTGACACGTTGCCTGCATCTGCACGGCTGATTGCTTCTGCGATTAGCTTGTGTTCCTCTTTTATGAAATGAATGCAATGCTTTTGACATCTTGAAGGAAAAGGCAGCTTGTGACCTGGCAAGGACCGATTCAAAATGCAGGAAGCTTCCAGTAATTGCTCAATACTGCACTAAGAGGAGGGGGGGCAGAAAACTGTAGTGATGCAATTAAAACTTCATTGGAGGCAACTGGAGAGCAGATTTGCTTAACTACATTCCACACTGTGTCAAAGACACACAACATCTAATGGCTGCAGACAAATGACCACAAAATCCTACAGGAAGACAATATTGTCATAAAACGGATTATTTTTTTCTGACCAACAATCCAAAAATCCACATAAATCCAATTACTGTGATATGGGAGGGAGAAAATAGCAGCTCTTAAGAAATTAAACAAACAAATGTATATTTTTAATGATAAATTAGATAGAAAGTATAATCAATTTGTCATATAATTTCACATGAAATGATGTAATCACTGATATGTGCTTACCTGTATGACACATACACTGGCTACTGTGTATTACTGTTATGTGCATAGTGTGGTACACATCACAGTCCAAGTATAAAGCACTTTTATCATTATAAAGTGACATTGGATGTAGACAGAGACTACCCCAGCAACCATATCATTAACATAGAAGCATGACGGTTACCTTGTTTACAATAAACTCCGTAGGACGCTTCCAGGAGTGCACTTTTAAAGATGGAGGCAGTAAAAGTTTCCCCTCAGGATTTTCAAAAAACGGCTGCAGACAAAAGCAAATAATATGTGATGTCCTATACACTGTAAAGTATATATTGCTGATGGCAAATTCAATTCATTTATACTCCAGATTTACAGCATTGTGACTCTTGTTCGTCTTCCCATCTTCAGCTCCTTTACTCGAGTCCCATTTCTCCTTGTTGACTTCTGCATCATTCCACTCTGGCCAAATGGGAAATCTGCATCTCCAAACGCCTGCTAGGCTCTCAGAGGAGGCTACTAGGGACGCTGCTCTGAAAGGATGACACATAACTCTTCCTTTCATTTGTTCTTGGCTTCCCTTTTGTCAATATTGAGCAGCGAAATGAGCCAGCTCAGTAGCTACCAGAGATTCAATCTCGAGAGTAAACCCACCAAAGTCCTGTTTACCCTTTCATAGTGGAGTTGACATTAGCTTATACTGGCTAGCTGTCTCCTTCATGATGATCAAAGACTGTATTTAGACGTATGAGAAGTTAGTTAACTTCTAAAGTGGCTGCAACATATTGATATATAACGTTAGGGTCACTGCATCTGTGTATTAACCTAAATAACACAATGAAACCAGCCAAAGTTTGAGTATGACGTTCTGTCAGGATTAGCAAGCTTCCTGAACGCTAGCTAACTTAATTAGTTTATTTGATGATATGTTGCTAACGCTAATGCTAACCACAGCTGACCTTAATTAACGCTAATAGCCAGCATTACAACTCACTCAGTCTGTCGGTCGGATGAAGAGACTCTACTTGAGGAGGTCTCCCTTTTCCTGACTTTTGGCTTGGACATATTGCACTATATCCGAACAAGTCAAGTAGTAGGCCGGAGGTGCATTTGTTTGGTTATGTTGCTAAGGAACGTAGCTCTAACGTGGGCGGGGTCTGGAGCTGTTGCGTCACTTGGTAATTTGCAACCTTATGTACAGTCTATGTTTACAATTACAGAGAGTAACTTCAGAGTAACGACACGTAATCAACCAAACACCTGGCCTCATTGTCCTGTCTATAAACTGATAGAATTATGGAATATATTGCAAAATATAGCCTCAAAATGTGCTGCAGAGATGAATCAATACCTTTCTGGAACCATCTTGATAAAAGCGTAATAGTAGAAGCTTCACAAAGGGTTCATTTTCCTGAAGGCCATGCATGGTATTGGATTGCATTGCACTGCCTCAAGTCTGTCATGTGATGCACACACATATGGCTCATACTGTAAAACCGCAGGATTGTAGCACCACTTACAAGGAAATATAGACAACACAACACAATACATCAGAATGCTGTCCAATTTGCTACTTTCTCTGAAATGCATGCTGACATACTTTGATGTGGATTTCAGTTTTGGCACTGCAGTAATGCTTGCACACCACACAACTGGCATGCCATCGTTGTATTTCCTGGTCCGGACAACAGTTAGGTGTGTGAAAGAGAACAAGCTGTAGTGGTGAGAGCACAGTGTCTGATGACTATCACACACTGTTTCCTGAGTGGAATCACATGGTCCTTTGTGTGTGTCTCTCTCACGAACACACACACACACACACACACACACACACACACACACACACACACAGTACTCGTACTTTTCACACATACAACTTCATCTATTGTACTCTGTGCCACAAGTTTCTTCGAGGGAAACATATCACTAGTGTTTTCTCAAACATTATGTAACTCAAATAGAAACAACTGTGCCAGTGCTTGTTCTGCACACTATACAGTCTTATTATGGCCATTGACCTAATCATTGGCCATTAATCTGTGCATTTCATTAGAATGACGAATAATTAGGCATGTTTTCATATATACATTGATGTTACCACTCGATCGTTCATCAAATGCAGTCAGAGTGATGTCTACTGTCACTCTGTAGTGTTCTGCAGTTCACCTGTTGCATGGAAATACCAAAGCAATGCCATCTTACATCCCAGTCTCAAGACATTATTGCTTGTGCAGCATGCTAATAACTTAAGAAGTGTGTTCATAAGAATAATCCAAGCTCAGTTGGCTATGTGCTGGTAAAAACAAGTATTGTTATAATCTGAAATATTTTCTTGGGAGATAAATCCACACAGGGAAACAAAATGTTTCTGTTGCATTTGAGCCAAATACTGTGGTTTAAGTACCCGATTTATTAATTCACATAGTTTGTAGCTCAGAAGGTTATAAGATTGAATTAATCATAAAGCGTGTTGAGCAACACCAACATTGCCCCAGGGTTTTGTTATTATATACAATTTGTGTATGTATGTGTATACATAGAGATACAGACACATACACACAGATGAACATATTTAAATGAATTGCATTAATTCAACAGAGACAGCAAAATTCTGCTAAAATGTTTATTCTATTTTGGTCTTGTACATTCAATGTAGTTTTACATGTAAACTTAATCTCAACTCAATGTTTAAAAAAATCCTTCATATTTAATTTGAACACTAATGTACAAGAGAGTAGTCTGCTGTCTGATTCCGTTTTTTAAGTCTCACCAATTGCATAATGCAAGACCCAACACATAAGAAACAAACAAAAACGAAAACAGACAAACCCTAAATCAGACCTACATATTCATACTGGTGTCTCATATAGTATCATTATTAGACTGTATTGTCCGTCTGTGTCTTTGTAAGTGTTTGGAGTGACGAAGAAAAAGTATTCCCCTCTAATTAACATAAACTGTATTATGGCACATAACGTCAGAGAAAATATGGCATAAAGACAACAATTCATGACAGCAATATGAGATATGATAACACTTTCATAATGCTTAACTGCTAGGCCCAATTGCTTATGTTTTACACAGTAGTCTAAAGAACAGCTGGAAACACAAAAGTGTGTGCTGTAAAAGAATGATTGTCATTCATGTCCATCTATGTGAATTGAAGGAATACCTCCACACTGAACAATAACGTATCCTGTTTCACAGATAAATGCTGAACGACAAAGATACTGAGAGAGAATAGACCAAACAGACAGAAATTAAGAGGCTACGTGTTGTTTTCTAGCTTGTGTTTCGCCAATTTCTGTTTAGTTTGCACCCCTTCTCAGGGGTGGTATAGTCCAGGGCTTCAGAGGCCGTCAGGTTAACAGGAGGAGCAGCAGGGTTCAAGTGTGGTGGGCTGGGTAGGGTGTATAGTTGATGGTGGAATACAGAATCAGGGAAATATGCACTGAGAAAAACTCAATCATAAAGATGCTGAGGTTTAGAGGCGTGGGACAAAGAAGGAAACAGCTTTATAGAGGCAGCGACATCATTTGTGACAACATCAAGATAAAATTGGGCAGGGAGAACTACAATGAAACACTTGGACGTGCAGGTCGACCGGGCATCAGTGCAGAGAGGAGAATATTCTGGAGCTTTGAGGACCCAAGAATTCATATTCCTCAGAGAAGCTGCAGTAGAGGACTGAGAGCCACAGCCTGGGTGCTAGGGTTGGACCCCCCCCCAAAGGGAGGCGCATGGCTAATTTGAATGGATTGAGTGTCAACAGCAGCCTGACTTGCTCTCAGCAGCCACAGTCTCCTGGTCCAGTTTGATCCGCTCTCCATTGCTCTCCTCATACGGCAACCCTTTGTCGTTAGCCAGGACGCTCTCTACCAGGAAACGTGCTGCCTCGTCCACGTTGATGTTGTCCTAGGAAAAGGTCAGAGCAGTCCGTCAGTGTGGTGATAAGACTTTTTTTTCACATTATTTTTGTCGTACAGAAAAAGTTGTACATTTACACCTTAGTGACTATTCAGACACTAGTCCATTTCTTTGCTTCAGTAGGAATCACAGCCTTTAAGCATCTTTTCAGAATTGCTTCGAAAGTCTACTCAAAACCCATTTATATGAGCCAGCCTGTTAAAGCAACAGCTGGGAGACAGAGACGGTTACCAGAGATCTGAGACCAGCAGAGACAAGGTAAAAAACGCCATTTGCTTTTGTCCTTCACACTGTCGTCCCTTGGGTTGAAGAGGTAATGATTATTAATGGCCTTTCTCCGGACTCTATGGTAACAAAGATGTTTACAAAGAGGCTTGGACACCTTAGGTAAAAGGGGTAAAATATATTTTACAAATTGCTTGTAGAAAAGAAAATTGAGTGTCAAAAGTCAAGAATTAAATTAGCAACACAAATCGAATTGCTTTTTAATTAAAAAAAAAAAAGTGAAATCTGGCAAGAAGTACCGGTAACATTTGTCCAAATGTACTGTCCCAATCTGTAAATTGATTGGAAGTGCATGTGAATACAATAACATGATTATGAGAACTGTCTACATCTCTTTTAAACTTTTATGATTTTACAATGAGTAGAGGGCGTGCCGTGCACCAATCGGAACCAGATGAACATCCCAATAAGAGAGCCCAAGTTGTTGATTACATCATAGTAAAGTCTGACTAGGACCACAGAAAATTAACAGCACCTCAACCTTTAAAAAAAAAACTGACCTTCCTCAGCCACAAACTCCTCCAGACTGTGATGAAAACAATGCATATCTCAGTGTGAGTGTTATGAATTATTCTTTTGTACGACGTTAAGGAATGTGTTCTGTCACTTCAAACTGAAAGACAGTTTGGTACTCACTGACAGAATACCAATCACGCTTTGTTGTAGGTCGAGTTTATAACCAGGGTGACAGGCACTCAAAACAACAACAACACTTCATTGCACTCACAGAAATGAGATGGCCAGAAAGGCTTTGCACACATCACTCACACACACACACACACACACACACACACACACCCTCAGTTCACATGACACAACACGTGACATAGCTGCAGGGCCTCAGCATATTTGGAATTAGTTAACTAAGTTTACTCCTGCTGCCAAAACCCATCACAGCATTCCTCAACATGGAAGTACAAAAGGTTGTTTCAGTTTAACATGCAGAAGCACGTGTGTGTTTGCAAGCGTCTTTTGGCTCATTGAGGATGAATTCGAAAAAGAGAAATGTGACGGCAAAGGAGGTGAGGGAAACGCGTGAGGAAGCTTTTCTCTGGAGTCTCATAGTTAAGAGGATGAACATTTGACAGTACGGTGATTCGAGCACTCGTCAGACACAACAGCATCTTACAAAGGAAGTGATTTATCCCGGAGCACGAGGTGGCACACGCAGTTCTGCTGGCAGCATTTTCATTGTGTCAGCCTTCGTGCTCTCACACAGTTACCCGCTGATGAGTTTTATTTTATTGCATTGAGAGTATGCACTTCATCAGGCACACCTCACAACACAGACTAACAGCTGTGGAAACAAAGACACTAGATTTACTAAGTACTGTCATTTTTGGTACCTGTACACACATTTCAAAGGGAAATATTGTACCGTTTATTCCATTAATTTGTTTCACAGCTATTGTTACTACTACTACTACAACAACTACTACTACTACTACTACTACTACTACTACTACTACCTCACTTTTCAAATGTAGATTTTAATAAAAAATACATGATTTATTTACAAAATGTGATTTTTTTTAACCATTAAACTACCCAACATTATATTGAATTAATAGAACCCATAATTGGCAAACCCCTCATCTTTGTAAAAACACACTTCATTCAAACTCAAGAACAAGCGATGTATCATGAGTCACGGTAAACAATCTTGCCAAATACTATATTTTAGTCACCAAGCTGTGTGCCTAGCAGTGGCTGAGTAGTTCTGTCAGCGGTTAGCTAAACACATTGTCCAAAACAAAAGTACATTTTGTTGCCAACAGTTTTGCAGGACTTTTACTTGCAGAGAAGAAGGTTCATAGTGTGGCATTACTACTACTACTTTAGTAAAAAACCATCAGAGAGAATATTTATCTATAGCTTCTCCGTCTAATGTATTGATCGCTTACCTTAGCTGAGGTTTCAAACCAGCCCAGAAAGCCGGTCTCTTTGCAGAAATTGTCCATTAGAGCCGTGTTGTTGGAGCTGTCTTTCTTCTGGTCGCATTTATTGGCGAGCAGCACTGAGGGGATGGGGTTGCCATTAGCCAGCTTCACCTTGCTGTCAAGGTCACGCTTCCATTTAGACACCGCCTCAAATGTGGAGCCCCTTGTCACATCGAACACCACGAAGGCCCCCACAGCCTCCTTGTAGTACACTCGCGTCATGTTCCCAAATCGTTCCTGACCTGAGTGGATAGGAGGAGAATTTAGTAAAAAAAGCTAGATGAGTAAAAGAGGGTGCAACATCACATCAATTACTGCAACACCACACATGAAGATCTCATTAGTTTAATTGCCTTAAACCCCATTCTATTTACCCACCCGATCGCTCCCTGATCTAGAGGACTACTACAGTGATCGTTTATCTTTTGCACTTGATACTCCAGCCTCTCTGAAAACACAACGCCAGCTCATGGTTTAAGGTCGGCACCTGGAGAGACTCTGCACTAAGACTGGATTGGTGGTCCATACAAATATTTTGATCACATGCGCAATTAATAAAATGTTCTTTCAATAGCTAAAATCTGCATTATGCCAATACGGTCTGTGCAGGTGACGGGGTCCTAGAAATCCCTTTTACAGGGTGAAAAGGTTACTCAATCAATATGAACCTCTCACATGAACAATGCTCTGCTTTTTTTGAAGTTTTTCAGCTCAAAAAAGAATAGAATTCATGAACTTCTGCTTACATCATACAGACTTATTTACCATCAGCAAGTCCCATGGAACCGCCCCTTCCACTGTCCAATGTGACTTCAGTCTTTCAACTGAACATTTTTTGAAGTTATTACTAAGTCCAACATCTCCAGGTGTCTCCTGGATCCAATCCCCACAACCCTAATTAAAGCACACTCGCCTTCCATCATTTCCCTGATCATTTCTTCCTCCATTTTGTCACAACTACGAGAGAGCTCAACAATTTTCATCCTCCAAGTGTGGCCAAAAAAATCCGACCTGGTTTTCCTAATTTGCCAAGGGCCTAATCTGCACAGAGAACGGCAGCAGTAATCTGCCATAATAATTAGCCCTTTCTCTGTAGTCATTCTCTGAGACGATATTTCACAAAGGCAAAGAGAGGGGAATTACCAGCAGGATGTGTGGTGTCACTATCAATCCAAGAAGGTCTCTTCTGGACCACATTTGCTTTATACATCTCTAAAAATCTACTGATCGTATTCACATCCCACCAACTATTTAAAGATCAATTAGAGGTATTTTTCATTTTGTATTTGAAATGCATTCAAGTTTCTTTTAGATGCCATCCCATGATGGGAAACGACTACAGACACTAGGACTTAATAACTATAGTCATAACAAATTAAAATTTCCATGGTCATTTCCATACTTAAAAAGTTATGTGAGGTACTTTCAACTGGATATGAAGCAATTTAATACTGATGCCTCCATCTGGCCCACATACGTAAAACAAGACCATCAGGGAGATTGGCTATTTCTATATAGTTTTTCTTAATGCGCGTCATCAGCGCCACCAGGTCGGATTCTGTGCAAAAATCACGCAGATTCAGAAGAAAACACCTTCAGCTCGGTCTCCAGGCCTCCGGCATCAACCAACCCACCGCGGACAGACCTATCCGGCTTCGCTGCAGCCTGCCAGGCGCAAAGCTCTCGAACTCCATCTCCTCCGCCGGCCAGGAGCCGAGCAGAGCCTCACTGCTCCGCCTGTCCCCGCTGGGAGCCAACACCGACACCATGCTGCTGGAGGCCCAGATCCTATTGGTGGGCCCGCTGGAGGGAAGGGAGGCACGGGAGAACCAGAACCAGGACTGTGCGGGGCTGACTGTCAAGTGACATGAGAGGATTTCTAAAGGGACCCTGATGCTCAGGGTCCAAAAGGACCGCCAAATTCAACACAAAGTTAGAGTTCTGTGTGGTAGCTTTAATTAGCACACTTAAAATGAAACCTTTAAGAGGAAATGGGCTCTTGAGGTGAGAAAAAAAATTCCAAGAGCAGCGCTCTGATGTATCTCCTCCTCTACACACATCACTTCACTTGGGGGAAGTGAATCTATAATCAGCGGTTCAACTGGCAAAAGGTATATGTCTGGCGACACTTGGCTGACGTCACACTTTCAAGCATATTTATCTGATAAAAACATCCCTTGGTTTCTGCCCCAGATTGCTTCATTTAAAATTGTAAATCTGTAATAATAAGAAGCAGCTGGGCCCTTCTCCTTTTTTTCTTTCCATTATTAAACTTCCCTTTGCTTTTTTGCATCTCCATTGTTTTTTTGCTGGGTATGATAATCAACAGTGACTTCCTCAAACTTTCATCAATCTGACAACTTTTAGCTTGTAGTGTTCCTCAGAGGAAAGACACACCCCGAATATTAACGATAAGGCTGATATTCTGTATTTTTCTTACCGTCAACAAATTCCATGAAAAGACCAAAACCAACAATGTGTCTCTTGATTCTTTCAAGCTTCCCCAGCCTGTATGTTGCTCTTAGCCTGCAAGCTGATTTGTCCCATCTTCTCGTCCTGTTTAAAGGATGGACCACAAATATTAGCTTTCCAACGACAACTAAATCATTTCCTTAAACAGTTGTGGATGAAGTTCAAAGTAATAAAGAAACATGTTGCATTGATGCGATTTGAATAGTTCTTGAACAACAATGTTGGTCTATGGCAGAGAGCTAGCATATCATGCTTTGGCTATACTGACAACACTTGTTATTGGGATTCATTTATTGTTGGTTTTGGTCTTTTCATGGGATTTGTTGATAATAAGAAAACATGCATTACCAGACTTCTGTTATAACCACTGTGGTGCAGATAAGTTGGTTGCTCAAAATAAAACCAAAACAGGTTAGTTAGTAACTGAAAAACGCATCGGTGGGTTGACGCCCACCGAAAGAAGAACTGAGTACAAGCATGCACCGACTATAACTTTGATCATGACCAAGACAGTCTGGGTTTCGAATGCAAAACATTTTCAGACAGAAGGCCGTTTCATGCTAAAAAAATGGCATCTACTATGTTTCAGACAGTCATTCAGAACTCTTTGTCCACATACAACAAAAAAGCAGTTTCACATTCAAAGCTGGAGGGTCATGGTTGGTTTTACTCTGTGTTTTTTCTTCATATAAACGGTAGTTTTTAACCACACAAACACACAAGAGATCTTGCGAAAGCTTCCAAATATGGTTCCTGTTTTTGAGCTTGTGTGCCATCATCAGTTCTATTGCACAATATTAAGATTTTTTTCAAGTCTAACTAAAAATATAGGTCTCTTTTAGTTTTCGGATCTGAACACACCTATAGCAGCATCCAAAAAAATGTATAACTCAGATTTAGTCGTCGTCTAAACTTGTGACATCAGATTACAAACAAGGGATTTTTTTCTGGTTGAACTAACTCTTCTTTGTGTTGGGTGGCGTGTATGACATGTGCCGTTAAAGCACCTGCTCATTTAACTTAAATTTAGATTGAGTCTCTACAATAATATCAGGTTTCCAATGACTCCTGGTACTATTTTAGATTCAGCACATCTTTCTGCTACACTGCTCCAATACAAGAAAGGCGACAGGGCAAACATAATTGTACAGTGTATTAGACAATTTGCAACCACTAGAGCTGAGTTAGAGTTGAGAAAATGAACCAAGAACAGGATTGAGGAACAGTGAGCACAGCTTCTCTCAGCATATTTTCACTTTACTGTAGGTTCTTACCCAACCGCGCAAGGATCTGGATAGGCATGGCGCAGTGCGGGTGTGAGCGAGAGAGCGAATACACTGTGGGGCCTACGGGCCTGACGGTAATTGCTCATAATTGAGAGTCTAATTTTAGCTGATATAACCGCAGGTGAATTCACCAGAGACACGACACAGTGGGATAAAGAGTCGATAGACTGAAAAAAAGGCTTTAACTCCCAGGCCTTGTAGAACTCGTACATCCAGCAGAGTGGAGGCAAAGGCAGAATATGTAAAGAAATAATGGCTGAATCATTTCCAAGGCACGTGTCTTCTTTTTCTTCTATTGTAAGGTCTGACTCAGCTCCAGCTTAATGTTTAGCCCGAACGGAGAGACTGAATATTCACCAGAGGTAAAGAATACAGTGCACAATGTTTTATTCAGGTAAACGAAATCGTGTGAACAGAGCGACAAGGACAGGTGAGCAGACCTGACATTCATAAACGACTTTTGTGCTCTGATCAAAACATGGACCAACGATGGGACAATAGCTGAAATAGCTTTTCTTTGTCTGCTCACCTTGGACTAGGACCTGTTACAAATTAAGTGCAGACTTGCAAGGTTGGCCAGCAAACACTGACTTGCCTTAAGAAGCTTGTCGTGTACACACATGCTTTCTGACATATCTTCTAACTTCTTTTTTTTTTTTAATTAAAAAACTAATTAATTTTGAGAATCAGTATGATCATTCATCTATACTCGGAGCTGAGGACAAAACTTGAGAAGCCATCATGTCATCGTCTACATTCAACACTTCACTTGATTTTCTGACATCCAGTCCTTATAGCTGGGTCGATGTGTGGGGACTTCACCCCACCTTCAACCTCACTCCTCCTGGGGAAGAGGCGGCTGGATGGAAAAGGGTACGGGGTGGATAGATCAATCAATATCACCGATGTGATTGCAGTTGCACATGTGCACACACACGCACGCTTACACCCGACTGCTGCATGGTGTAATGAGTTCTTTGGGGTATTGATAAGGAGCTCCACACAGAAGTGGCTAATATTAAATGACAGCAAATCCCATGATGCCTGACCTTCATAAGGAAGTCCTGATAATCATTCAGCTGCATTTACTACATTTCCACTCCTGTTGCTGAAGTTCAACACAATATTCTGCACTACTCCCGAGTGCTTTGGTAAACAAAAGCCCTCTTTGTTGAATGACATCAGTGTGCATCATGTTGGTGCTGGTGATATTCTCCATTTTTTTATTGATAAAAAATGACATGGAAATGACTTAAAATAAACTACAGTGCTACATGTTCATCACAATCTAATGACAAGGTCACTCAGTGCAATGTTGTGTCTCATGAATGTGTTTTTAAATACACTTCTATGGCACAGAGGAATACACTTTATCTGGCTTTTGATACATAGAAGATGTTAGAAGGATCAGTTCATTGTCGGCTTTGATTTTTTTTTGGGATTTGTTGAAAATAAGAAAAATGGACTGATCTTTTTCTCTATTA